TTTGAAAACATGTTTACAGGGGAATCATCATTCCAGGGTTTCTTAGGCAGTGCAGGATTTCGTCCATCCACAGCATGTGGCCGTTTAAATGTTTCAACACCATGGTATATGTGTAATTATATGCACAAATATCCTTTATTTCAGTGGACTTCTCATGTCCTTGACACAATCGGGGTAACAATAACACACCCATTCCAATCTCTGCCACTGTTTTTATGGCTGAAGGTTCTTAGGAGGGTGGGTTTCGGAGGGGTTGAAACGTTCATCTGGTTTCAGAGATCCAGACGGTTTGACCCGCGCAGCAGTAATGAGTTGGAACAATTTAAGAAAGGGGTCCTTTGATTAGGGGTTGGGTTTTTTCTGATACGTAAGTCGACGCGAGTTGGATTCCCTTACTCGTTTGCGGAGCTCAGATAAATTCTGCACTCATCACAATGGTCATCAATCCGTTTCCGACAATACACATAGTTCCTACACGTGGTCAAGACATTGTCTGTACAATTCCAGCATAAGTTGCCAACTTGCTACAGTACATCCCATTTCCCTCCCCTTCCTGGGAAAAGCTGATTGGGGCAACTTGGGGGGAGGGGCAATTCTCAAGTGGGTCCCTGAGATCCCAAAGAACCATTCACATGTTGGAGGAACTTTTCCCCAGACAGCGACAATCGAAACCCAATTAGATGAAGGCTAGGGGATCCCTGCGGCCGCCTTCTGGATTCCTTACATGGTTCTGGGTAGACCATTTAAATACCGGGTTTTGATGTTCTTTGGTGCATTTTGCTTTGATGTTAGCATTTTCACTTTTTGCCAACTAGTGGATTTTCCATTCAGCCACTAGAACTTAAACTTTTAGCAGGGGGAGCAGATTTCGCAACCGAGTTATTGTTCCCGTCCGGGGGCTCGCCAGGTGGGGCGGCGTGTTGGCCACCCGCGCCCTCAAGGCGGCGCCCCGGGTGCGGAGCGGCGCCCGGGCGGCGGCGCTGAGGCCGCTGCGCCTTGGCTCCAGACGTGGCCTTGGCTCGCGCAGCTGTTTTTGGCTTTTTGGTTTAGCATCTCACCCAAAGAGGGTTGGTTTAGCATCTTTTGGGTTGGTTTTGGGTTTTTGGTTGGCTCACCCAAAGAGTTGAACTGGTTTGGCAGGGGATTGACCCCATAGGTGTCCTGTTCGCTTTGCTTAAAAAGAGATGGGTTCCACTGGTTTGGATGGGGTAAAAGGCCATTTACCAGGGCCGTCTATTTTCCAAAAGGCCACCTATGGTTGACCATTTTTTATTTTTTTAACCCCCAGCTTATTTAACTTTTGGAGGGGACCACCACCCTATACATAGACTGGCGTTGACTAATATGGGGTCAAGATGAATGGATACATGAGCCGCGTGCTCAAAACCGATTCGGGTTCAAGGGAGAATCCCCTTGCCATAAATGGGAGCGGAATTCCGCCTTGTTAATTCTTTGTTTCTGGGTAGACCGTGTTGTTCTGACTCACATGGCGGTGGATCAAAAATAGAGTAGCGCCAACATGGGTTGCCCTAAATGGAAAGGACTCATACCTGCGGTCCCTCGGTTTAATTTTGACACATACTGCACATACCTGTCACATACCCACATGTTGGCTATTTGAAGTTTCTAATTACACGTGCATGGTGTTTTTTTTAGGTGTCCTTGAAGGGCTCATGGGCGGGTTGGGAGGAACCCGGGGGCGGGGTTCCTCCCAATACTTCATGCGCCTGCCTGAAAGCGAGCTGCGCCAAACTCACGCCGAAAGGGTCCGAATGTTTGCTATTCCCACAGTCTACCCTCCCACAGTCGGTCCCACGCAGGAAAGCAGTGTCCGTTCCAGATACGCTTTCTCAGCGGTCACCTTCGTTGCTGGGCAATGTTCAATGCCAGGGTAATTTGGACATATAGGCTGTCAGCTGAGATTTTGCCAGGCATGAGGGTGATACGGCCATGCAAGGGTGAACTGCTGCCAAAGAGGCATGGTAGATATATCACCACAATCGGAAGCCGGCACTCGCTGGTTGAGCACGGGGCGTCCTGATCCTTCACCTTTTTAGGTGGCTGGCATTCCACCTTTCGGTCAGAAGTTCCGCTTATGGAGACTCCAGGTACAAACTTGCGACCTCAGGTTTCGTGAGTTTCTTTCCCTCACAAGCCACAAGCCACTGGCTTGGGCAGGCAAGTCGACTTCCCAGGGTCGGGTTCGGATATTTCAACCAATGGGGCGAAATTCAAGCATCACTTGTTGGCAGCTGGCGTTTCCATGAGTCAGGGCACTCTGAAAAAAGAATCCGCCGTGAACTTTTGATCCTCAACCGGTTTTCACGCCTTCCCCACCCAGAACAACCAGCCCAGCCCGAGGTTGGCGGGGCTGCTGGCGGTGTTGGCGGTGTGCTTTTGGCTGCGCCCGCTGCTGCCCCATGGGGTGCTCACCATGTCCGAGGATTCGGAGTTCGCCTGGGGCCAGGGCACTTGAGGCCGAGTCCCCAGAAAGTGAGCCGAATCTGAATGGTGTTGGCTTTGAAGTGGTACTTCGTTTTTCCATAGAAAAAGAAGTGATTTCAAAATGATACCAGTTTCCAACGTGCACCAGGGCAGTCCAGAGTTGGGGTCGATTCCTTCTTGGACTCTGGTTTTATGCTGGCCTACCCTTCAAAGGGAGGTGGCTTGACGGGCAGAAGCTGCAAGCGACTGGGGGGCTGGTCGTTTTGTGCGGCCGGAGGCTCAGACAGCTGACGTAGGCTGCGGCGCCCGTGAGGAGCTTTGACCGCCGCTTTAGGCTTTGTCTGCCTTGCGTTTTATACTCTGGATAGTCTGGACACAATGCGGGGAGGAAATGATGGGAGGTTTGTCAGCTTGGTGATTGGTGTCCCATACCTCATGTAAACTGGGGATGCCATGAGCTCACCGATCAGGCGATGTGCACATACAACCTGGAAACCACACGGAAACCAAGTATTTGGACTAGGGCTGTCCAAACCCACATGCTACAGAATGTGCATATATATATATATATATATATGTATGTATATATATATATATATATACATACATATATATATATATACACACATTACACTGCACTACACTACATTACATTGCATTGCATAACATTACATTGCATTGCATTACATTACAATGCATTACATTGCATCACATTGCATCACACTACATGTCATAATATATATATATATAGTAGTTTACATATATATATATATATGAAACATCATGTATAGATGTATACAGAGGGACTTTGTCATTCATGTACCACATCTTTAGCCCGTCACGCTCCAAAGCTCGTAGCCTCGACCACGCTTTGAAGAGACTTCCCACCAGCCCTTTGCACCCAAGCCCAGAGACCCCAAAGAACTTCAGGTTTCGATGGGGCTCCATTCGAGCTACGTAAGCTTTTGCCTTATGATTCGGTGGGACCTTTTCCTTGTTGACCCGCGGTTCGGAAGCCCGGCGGGGCTTTCTCCGCGAAAGGCCCTGAGACTTGCGAAGGGCCCGAACCCCAAGTGCGGGATCTTGGCAAGACCAACTGGGAATCTCTGGGACCCAAACCTCGCGGTTCCTTCCGTGAACTCTTGCATCCTCAGTTTCGATGGCATGGCTCGGTTGCTTCGCTTCGGAAAAGGAAAGGCGGGGGTTTGACGGGAAGTGCCGCGAGCGGGTTGACCATGATGAAGGCTCCTTTGCTTGGGGAGTCAATTCGTACTTATCAGCCTGTTGGGGAAAACTGTTGCAGACGGTAAGTGAGAGGTACCCAATATTTGCATGTGCCCGGAGTTCTCCGATTCAGTTTTGGGGTGTTGGACGTTTTTCACCTAGCTGGTTTTAGCATCACCTGTTGGGCCACTTTACATTGAGTTTCCTCTTAGTGGGGTGAAGACGGTGTTTAAATAGGAAACACAGCGAACAGCGTCCAACTCGAGAAGCAGCTTCACCACGTCTCGGGCCCAACGCACCCGCACTTGCCACGTTTTGCCTGATCCGGACTCTGGCTTTTGCGACCCCGGAGGAATATCTTGATCCAAGGGTTTGCCATTTTGGCCTTAGTAAACAATTCATGCAGACACCATTTTGTTTCGGGGTGCCTCATTTGACCAAGCAGGGTCATGCTCGAAAGGTAAACCCTGCTATGTACATCAGAGGACACTTGCGTAGGAGCCTGCCCTCCAATTTCATTTTTTGGTTGCCTCCCGGCTTGTCCTTTTGGTTGTTGGAATTACTTTGAACACCACCATCGATGCCAGATATTTAGTGTCCTTTTGTTTTGTTGAGTTTAGGGCATTCTTTTCAAAGGCAGAGTAGATGTGCAGATTCCACCTGTTCGCGGATTGGCTCGCAGGCGGGGCTTTAAGCCGAGCGGGGCTTGGGCAGGTCATTTAGGCCAACGAAATGTGCTGTGAATCGCAGTACTCGCGTAAAGGCCTGCCTTCAGGTGGATTGTTTTCCGTACTTTTTTCGGTGTGAGTTCTCATTATCATTCTGGGATGTTCTCTATGAGTCCATCTGTCTTTGTTGGGACCTCGTACAAACTCGGCGAGCATCCCCCTAGCTCCTCACCGCTATATGTCACCCATGGAGGAATCTGGCCAACTGCTTTGGGTGTGCCCTGAGTCGAAAGCTATGCCGGTGGCAAGTGGCAAGCAAGCGCGAGGTTGTATTTGCGAAACCTGCATGCATCCTTATGACATCCTCCAAATGAACATGGCAAACATAAACATGTGGGTTTGTTTTTGACGGTGCCCTTTACAGGGGGTGGCCTTTTCAAGGGAAAGCAACTGGCAAACCACAGTGTGTTGGGGGCCCCTTTTTTCAGACACACCCTTGTAGAGAAGTAGTGGAGAGTTGTAGGTTCATTCCCAAGTTTTACCAACCATGTTTCCTTGCCGATCCTGGGTACAAGCGGAAGAGTCATTCAGTTCCCCAATTCCCTTCCCACCGGCACGACAACGTCTCACGACAGCCACGCGTGGTTAACTTTTTACGATGCCATGCCGCGTGGAGGGGCGGTGCCGCTGGGGCGCCCGACATGGATGACCATACGGAGGAAACGCATCGCTGGGTGCGCCTTTTTTCAGGGACCCCAATAATGTTAACCCCGGATTAATAAACCCCCCTGGTTGATTAATACGGGGGTGTCCCCTTTTAGTGCGCATTCATCGCTTACCTGCGGAGACCCTGAGTTGGGGATTGGTTTGAGAGAGTTTAAACAAGGCCTGAACAAGGCTTACAAATAGGGCCTTATTTGGGCTCCCTCCCCCTCCCCTCCCTCCCCATCAGTTTGGAGTTTAAACCCTTGGTTCTAGCTCTAGCAGGGCCACCCCGGAACACCTCCCAACTACCAATCCAAGAAAAGCTGATTCCCAAGCGGATCAACCAGCTGCTTGCCCCTTGGCTTCGGTCAGTCAATTGGATTGTCCCAGCGGATTTCAAGAGGAGTAGGTTGCAGGCCACCAGATCAAACGCAAGTGGCTGACTCGTCCCTCGTTTGCCATGCCCAGTTGGCCTTTTGCCATTCCGATTGGCTCATATTATGAACCCATTGCCTATGGTGGACATGCGAATCCGCGTGGATCCCAGCTGCGCGTCTAGTAGGTAACCCTTCGCCAATTTGCTGTTGGTTCTTACAAATCGGGTGGTTCTCCTGGTTGCCTATGATAGAGGGACCATGGAAGCACTGGAGCAGCCTTTCATTTCTGACGCTCTTGCCATGCCTCTGGATTCTTTGTCGCTCCCTAGCCTGACGTATTGTTGTTTTTCTTCAGAGACCTTGAGCAAGCAGATTTGCACCATGGATTCCGTTCTTGGCCGCTGCCTCGCTTTGTAGCGGAACAAAAACACACCAGGCACACCGAGGCCTAGGTCCTTGGGGCCTTTGGACCAGAAGTCCCCCCCGCTATATTCCCTGTAGCTCTCAGATGGGCGTTGTAAATAGATCCCGGCCGCATTGGGATGGTAAAAAAGGCGGGCCTTCAAGGTACTTCCTCCCTTCAACATCAACTTCCCCCTCAAATCCTAGGAACACCCTTTCGGGCTTCCTGAGAGCTTCGCAGGATGCCCTAAATATTGGAAGTAAACCAGCCACACCCACAGAACCATGGTTGAAGCTACGGTAAGTTTGGGTGGTCCCATGTTTCCCTACTTTCCATGCTGTGGATGGACACAATCCTGCACCAAAAGGGTAGGTGGTTTATCAACAGTTATTTCTAGGGCTTCATCTCTCCGTGGCGCGAACTGGATTTCGTCCACCCACAGTACTTCTTGCAGCTCAGCAGGGAATGAGGGAATGACCCCCGGAAAAAAAGAAAAGAATCCCCTACTGTTGATGACGAAATCCATTTCGCACCACCTAAGAAACCCTGGAATGATTCGATTCCCATGTAAAATACCAACCAGCAATGGCTTCCCATGGTTTCAAAGTGGTGCGAACGCATTTCGTCCATCCACAGTATGGCTTCCTTTAAGGGACTCTTGAGGTTCCTTCCCTACGCAGCACCTGCAGTATTTCGGGCAACTGAGCGCTGAGGCTCGACGTGGACTGGCGGCGATGGCGAAGCCAGCCCTGGGAGGCGACGCGGCAGCTCCAGCAGATCGCCAAGGAGGAGTCTCCGCTTCAGGGTTTGGGGGTGGGGGTTTTCCGTGTCTAGGTCCGCCAGCTAGGTTCCTTTTACCATTTTTGGTTGGGAGGGTTCAGGGAGGTCCCCCAGCTAGGTGCTCTTTTTACCAACTTTTTTGGTTGGGAGGGTTCCCCTACTAAAATAGACTGGAAAAAAAGGGTACCCTTATTGTAACCTCTCTACTGGAGGACCTAGATGTTTGTTTCCGGACCTTGGGGTGTGTTTATTAATGTTGAGCTCAAATAAATCAACCCCTGTTTGTTGCATAGGGGGGGTGTCCGTGTGGGGATGCATCACTTTCGGAGGGGAGCACTCGTACGAATAAACTAGGGTTGATAATATGGGGACAACGTTTTTATTTTTGGGTGGGGTTTTTTGGGCGCTTTAGTTGTGGGTATTTTTGGGTTCTTTTTTTGGGTGGTAGCTTGTCGGGATGTTTTCGTTTGGTTTCTCTGAAAGGTAAGGTCAAAAGGCTTCGGAAGTTCCACTTACCCTCCCACGAAGCCCAAGCGAGGGTCCGTTTAGACGGTCTGGAGCCCTTCTTTCGAGGGCGCTCTTTTCTGTGTGCGCGCTTTCAGTTTCAGTTTCTACCCTTTTTGGGTCTTGTTTCGAAGAGCGCCCAACAGGAAACCACCCTCGTTCTCTGGGGGTGTCTACCACTTAGAGACAAGCAGCACTTAAGTCATAATATCATTTGTTTACTTGGCTTATATTATATTTGTTTTGCTGCTCTTCATTTAGGGTTTACGTTGAGAGGCATGCTGCAGGGGAGCGAAGAAGCCCTTATGCACGTCGCTTTGTCCAGGCGGAGCCGCATGGAGCTCTGCGGTTGCTGGAGACCATGCCCCATGGCTCGAGCGAGGGGGATTTGCTCGGGGTCTTGGCCAACATCAAGTCGGTTTTCGGTCAATGGAATATGCAATATACATAGTCGCTGCAATATAGGGTGTGTCCCTGCTATTGTTTTTGAAGGTAGTGGCTTTGGGCGGCGGAAGTCATCCACGCGGCATCATGCTTTCAGGGTCCATAGATGCAACTTGACTAGTCTTGAGCTTAAGGCATGAAATTCCCGAGCCTCGTCTTTTGGTGCATAGGGTTCCATAACCCAAGCCCTGGTCATTTGCGCAGGGTCTGCCTGGGCAGAGATCCGGTACTAGAAAGGCGGAGCGCATTTGTCAGAAACACCAAGGGCTTAGCCTCAGATTTCGGCGGACAGACTTCCCCAGCGTCTACGGTTGCCTTTAAGTCAGGTATTCCGAACCCATACCAGTCCAGGAGAAAAGTCGGACGCCTCCATTGGACTCTCCCTTGGAAGGATCAATGTCCATCTCATCCCGGAGACCTCTGCTGCTTGAAGCTGTTGATTGTCCGTTGGCCTAAGTTGACTTCAATGTTCTGCTGTTTGTGAAGGGTCATAACCGGTAAACCACATCATCGTTCAGTGACACCGTTTCTTTTGCATGAGCTTTTTCATATTCACAGCCAATGCACTGCGCGCTCGCCTCCAACCCAAGCCTTCAAATCTCCTGGGCAAGGCCTTAAGGCCTAACTAAGCTTTGTTTGGGGCCACCCCTTGAGGCCTGAAGGGTCTCCGTGGGTGTTGTTGGGGTGGCTTTTGGTTGGGTGAGATGCCAAGGCGTAAGAAGCGCGTCGATGTGGACCTGGTCCATTGCAACGCTGTACTGTCTGCTTTCGCCCGAGGCGCTGGGGCGATGTTCAAATGCTCAAGAGACCAGTGGGGTTCAGCGTCGCACGGCTGCTCAAACGCAGTCATGATCGATTCCCTTCCCTTAGGGAGACTGGAGTACTGATTGGCGCTAGGCCCTGTGATGTCGAGCCCACTCAAAAGCCGGCTTCTGTTGACACTTGTCAAGAGTTGTGCATCCACAACTCGTCCTTGACCTCAGTATCACGCGCACCCACCATTCACGATCTACTACACGTGAGGGGATTATTTGTTCATGAAGTAGAGCGTTATAAAGTGCCCTAGCAGTGTGAGCTACAACAGAAACCGGGGCAGATGAAGGATAGTACAGGACACTCCCAACCCACAAAAAGGCGTGGCCGTCGTGTTTTCGCATGGTTTTCGGTAGACCACTTCAATACCAGGCTTGATTAGGACTCATGTGGGTTGAGGCAAAGAGATAGGAATCTCAGCCAGGCTCGGAAGAAAACACACACACACAAACAGGATTTGGGTGTGTCTCATTGCTGCGATACCCCTTGTGGGGGTTGTTTTCAAGGGAAGCCTTTGTATTTTAAATTACTATGCTTTGACTGGGGGAGGGTGCACTATTTGCGACAAAAAGCCATTTCCCTTGGCAGTTGCTTCGTTTGGTTGTGACACTGGTTTTGCCAGCATCACGGCTGCACCACCTTCGAGCTCATGCATTTGTACATACCGCACGCAGGCTTTGCTCGATCCATGTACCCAGTTGGGAATGAGGGAAGTTGTTCGCTTGGCTGCAACCCACAGAGCGGGCTTTCGGGTTAGAACCGTGAGAACCATTGAGAGCTGGGCGTCGTGGATCAGGTGTGCATCATTGAGGTTTTTGAATCGTTGCCAGCTTCCTTGGGGCTATTCAGGGTAGCACATGCACAAATCATACCTGCTGAAAACAAGCGTCCTCAGCTTCTCTACTTGTTTGCTTGCCACTGGCTCGCACATGCTTGTGCTCAGTCTCACTAATGTTCAAAAGCGGTTGGGGCAAGATAGGCCTGATAGGCGTGCATTGTTTTGTGCCTCTCAATGGGGCAATCCCGATGGGAACCCAGCAAATGCGTGGTTTCCTGTTGGGCCCCCTTTCACACCCGAATCCAAAATCGGAAAGACGTGGCATTTCCTCTTCCCATATGTGCTTGTTTCCATTTTCTTGTCCTTTTCGGGTTTGCAGTAAGTAGCTTCTAGGCCACACAAAAAGAGAAGGTCCCCCTAGTCATCAGCGCCCTGGGTATCCCAGGGTTTCCCCTGTGGGTGTTGGCGAAACTTTGGGCAGGGACTGCCTGGACCCTCAAAGTACCCATAAATTGGGAATCCCCATTTTAAAGCTGGAAGCATTGCGTTATTTCCCCAACATGGGCTGAAACCGAAGGTTGCTGTGAGTTTTTGTGTTACTTCCCCAACATCATGGGGTGAAATCCGATTTTTTAGTTGGCAGTGTGAGAAAAGTTGGACCCCTCCCAGCCGTCGACCATCGCAGTGGGGCACTGGCCCGCGAGCCTCCTGCTGCTGCAGAAGCTGCCGATGTGGCGCCTGCAGCCAGACCTCGTGGCCTGGGCGGAAGCTAGAGGAATGCCCTCCCGGATGTGGAACTCAGGGCGTGCCCCAGGAAAATGGTGATTTTCAGGAGCCCCTGTCAGGTTCTGATCACCCAATGAACTACATTTGCGCATGCGTGCAGTGTCTGATTCAACCAGCTGGTCATCATGAGTACGGCCAGCTTCAGAGTCCAGGGGGATATTAGACAAGATGTGGCTGGTGACTATGCAACTAAGACAATGTTTGTTCCCTTATTTCTGTTTTTTTTTTTTCCCAGGACTGAGCGTCTGCTTTACCGATTCACAAGGCGGATTTTGAACGCTGGCTTTGCTGCAAGGTACCAACCTAGCTGCCTAGGTTGTACCCCCCGACGTCTCTGTTCTTTTTTGATGGCTGCTCATTTTGGGTTGGGGCTGACAAGAAAAGGGTCGCACAAACACCAAGACTCATGCATATGCACGCTGGAGGGGGGCGAGGCGACTAAGTGTGCGGCCTCAACCTTGGGAGAAACGTGGCTACTTCGAGGCTCCGTGCGAAAATTTTCAAGCAGACTGAATCAGAGTGTTCCCACCCTGGAGGCAGCCGGCAAAGCTGTTTGGTTCGGCCTGTTCTTCTTTCGGCGGCTAATAGCCAAAGGGCATCAGTTGCAGCCCTTGTGGTCAAAAAGCGGGATGGCAGCAGGCCGTCCGGCGATGGCTGGTGGCGAAAGCTTGCAGTTGAAAGTCCGAACTCAAATCAGTTATCTAGGTCATTGTAATCGATCGAACGCCATCGACTTGTTGGCTGGGATAAGTGAGTGGGTGTGTCTGTTTTGAGGTCGGACCCCAAAATGGATTTCGGTTGTCCTTTTGGTTTTATCTTAAAACCAAAAGAAATGCCCGAGTGGGTCAAGCGGCTGCTGTCCCAGGTCAGCCTCTCCTCTGCTCTGAGCGGTTCCTGGCAGCACTCGCTGGCGCTGCTGGCAGACTTCGACGGCCAGCCGGACACGCCGCTCAGAGCGGACGGCGTCTCACGCCGGTTTGGAGGCTGTCCACATATCGCCTTGAAACCCCGCAGCTGGCACGGTTGCAGACAATGGGTGTGGTTTTCAGGCTCGGTATCCTGTTTAGGGTGGTCTAAAGGGAGACCAGAAGGGAAAACCGCCTTTCGTCATTATGCACCCCTACTTTCGATACATACCAACATATTTTTCTCCTAAAGGGTCAAAGAGTGGTTGAAAAGGCAACTCTAAAAGGAGTTCTGTTGGTGAGAACGTGAATATGTGGAATGCTTTTTGTTTGTGGTAGTTAGTTCGACCATTACTTTTTGGTCGCCACGTTCACGTCATTGTTTTTTTTTTGCGTGTGTGATGTTGCAAGCGACAGCGAAGAGTGCTCTGCCAGAGCTGAGAGAAGTTGAAGACGCCAGCTTTCCATTGAAATGATATTTGAATCCTTTTATATCAATTCCCGGGACTTGAATGCCAGGGCCTAAGACGCTGTCTCAGGATCGCCATGAACGCCTTCCTGGGGTCCCTGCAGCGGGGTCGCCAGTGGGCGCGAGCCGCGCAGGTGTTGGCGGATATGCATTCGGCCGGGCCGGCGCCGGACAAGATCAGCTCTTCGGAGTCTTTGGGGTGGGTGCCGGAAAACTGGCGACGTGGGGGGCACAGGGGATGTCTGGACCCTCAAAATCCAATCAGAATCCTTTTTGCTCTAAAATTATAGGCTGAATTCCGCCTTTTTGAGAGCAGCTGCCCGAATTCCCCGAGGTGCAGGTGCCCAAGCTGAAGTGTCCGAGCCAACACGAGAAAGATGTTTTTTTCAAGGGTGCCATCAGGGAGCCTTCAGCTCGGGCATTCCAAGAATGATGATTTCAATGGTTGGAACACCATGCAAATTGCTGGGGACATAAATCCCACAATTAAGTTTAGCAAAATCCTATTTGGAAAGGAATTCCTACTTAAATTCTAAATCAACATAGACAAATTCAATTGTGTCCTCCTTGAGTTCTATCAAACGTCTAATAAACTATTTGTTCAATTGAATTATACTTGACCTAGTACATCATATTTGAAGTATTCCCTTGATAAGCTCAATTCATGGAAAGGATGTCTTTTCTACATTCTAATTGAAGATAGAAAGTACAATGGGACTCTTTCCTGATGCATATTCCCAATGTCAATTTAACATCCGTTAAGTTATCATGAAACATATAATTTGTAATTGACTTTTTGTTGTTGACAGTGCATTTGAATTCTAATTATCATGATTCAATTTGGCATAAGGAGCCTCATCAGGAGCCCTGAAGGAAGCTTTATGAGGAGCTATAGCAGAAACTGTTTGCGGAGCCTCCTTATAAGCAGCTTCGCAAGGAGGAAAGACGCTTTACCAGGAGCCTTATAAGGAGCTTTACAAGCATTTTTACAAGGAATTGTACAATGAGCCTTGGAGGGAGGCTTAAAAAGAGCTTCATACGGAGTGGTGTAAGGAGCTTTACAGGGAGCGTTCAAAAAGCTTTATGAGGAGCTCAAGTGTTATAAGCAGCTTAACAAGTGAGCTTGCAAGAGCTCGGCAAGCAGCTTTACAAGGAATTGTGAGCCTTACATGGAGCCTTTTCATTAAGGAGCATGTTTGCTAAGGAGCCTTGAAAAAAGAGCTGCACAAGGAGCTTCAAAAGGAGTCTCACGAGCAACTTCACAAGGAGCCTTATGAGGAGTTTTGCGAGGAGCCTTATAATGAGCTTTATAATGAGCCTAGTAAGGAGCGTTTATAGCGGCTTTATCAGGAGCCTTGAAAGGAGCTTCATAGCAGCTTGGGTCAAGAGTTGAAAGCCAAGTGTTGAATTCCAATTTAACATCAAACATCTAGTGCACTGGTCACTCTCCTTCACTGCGGCCCACGATGCTTCCACGATGCTTTCATCATGGCAGTACCAAATCTGCCCAAAACAGGTATAAGCCACAAAACAAGAAAAAGGAGTGAACGCAAAAAACGAACCTCGAGTAAACCAAGAAGCAGAAAAGCAAAAACTGAGGAGAAGTTTTGGTTTTGCCAACAGGATTTGTGGTTTTCTCAAGTTTGTTGTTGTCGTTTTGTTGTTTGGCTTTTATTGTTGATTTGGATTTTGGTATTGTTTATGGAGAACCACGAACAACATCAAAACACGAGAGAACCAAGAAACCATCGAGTTTCTTTGGTTCTACAAAATTAACATGAGGGAGAACCAACAATACCAACAAAAAATCTCGAGAAAACCCAAAGCCAAAACTGTTGGTACAACCAACACTTCTGAGAGCTTTGTTGTTTGATTTTCTCGATTTTGATATTGCTCATGGGTTTCCATCAAGTATGTCCAAAAACCAAAAGCTATCGGGTCTTTTGGCTTTTAATCAAACAACCAACAAAAACACTGAGGGAAAACCAAAAACACCTGGAGAAACCTCAAGGAAAGGAGAACACACAGCTTTTGGCAAAACCAACAATTCCTCCGAGTTTGCTTTTTGTTCTTTTTTGGGCCTTATGGATAATCTTTTTCGATTTTCTTCGTCCCCACCTAAACACCAAAGTTGCTAAAAGCACTGTGCTTTTTGCATACGAGTATTCGACAGTCGTACAAAAACTGTGGGGGTTTCTAACTTTTAACAATTAGCGCAATGCAAATCCAAAAACGGAATCTGTTTTGCTTTAAACGCCATTCTTATGGCAAATGTATGCAACAACATGTTTTTTGCATTGGTTTGAGGCACAGCAACATGAGGTAGTTTATTGGGGGGGGTGACCATATATATATATATTTATTTGGTGACCAGTTGAGCGGCAGCTTCTTGGAGGTTTTCGCTGAGGCTACAACATTGCCATCAGCGCCTGCGAGGAGAAGTGGGAGTTCCCTGGCATCGAGTCCAAAGAACGACACCTGCGCCCGTCTTTTTTCAACTTTGCTTGGAGAGGGGAAGCCCCTTCAAAATTAACCAACAACAAACAGGCGTGCCTTTTTGTGTGCTGTGGGCACCGGGGTCTAGGTCATGGGTGAGTTTTGTTTATGTACAAACGGGAAAGAACAGGGAGTGCCGTGTTGGGGTTCCCTGTTTTAAGACGCGCGAGTTTCCATTGGATGTGATACAAAATGTCTCTTTGGGGTTCCACTCGTGCGATTTCCCCGGTAGAATGATTTGAGCCCTTGGATAAGTTTCATACCCAAAGATTTGATGGCCCTCCAAAGTAGGATGCATCCATAGAAACCTAGCCTAAACCCCTAAGTACACCCAAGATTGCAAGGCTTTCACGTGTTTTCGGTCCACCTCTTCAGACCCACCCCAGATCCTCGTCTCCTCCACATACCTTATTGAAAAAACTGCCTACTCAGTTGCCGAAATAGTAAGGCCTAATTGACTAAGGCCTAGCACCCAATCAGGCCCAATGGACCCGTGGAATTCATTGAGCTACAAAGGCCCTTCCTAGGCCGGACTTGTTTGGAGGGAACATGTTTTTTTGTTTGACATTGATTTGGATAAAACTGTCCTTTCTAGGATGGACAAACCCACGCAGATCGGCAGCTGGGCTTGGTGGTATATCAACCAGCTTTCACTGGGTTTCATCCATGCCCACTCGCCTGGAGCATGGCGCGTTGGGATATGGAGGGTTCCAGTTCCCAAAGGTCTTGCGTTCCATTTCCCGTAGCCAAAGGCTGTCCCACCCTAGCACCCAAACGGGTATTGGCGAAGGCTTGCCTACAGTGGCTTGCCTACAGTGGCTTGCCTACAGTGGCTTGCCTGGGTTCCACTGGGGAAACCCGATTGACTATAAAGCTCAACTTGGAACCTGAAAAGGGTCTTATCCCCAAAAGGAGACTCCCCAAGCGGAGACCCCCCAAGCACAGGAACAACACGGATTGAACACTGGATGATTGCCTACATTTTCAAGAGGTTTGCAAGGAGACGGTTTTCCCGAAAGCATGGCGAAGGGTTCTTCCGCTGGGTTCACTTGAGTTGTTCTCATGAGAGTCATTACAAGGTGTCATTGCAAGGAATCATCATCATGAAAGTCAATGCAAGGAGTCATTGCAAGGAGTCATTGCAAGGAGTCATTGCAAGGAGTCATTGCAAGGAGTCATTGCAAGGAGTCATTGCAAGGAGTCATTGCAAGGAGTCATTGCAAGGAGTCATTGCAAGGAGTCATTGCAAGGAGTCATGGCAAGGAGTGCAAGGAGTCATTGCAAGGAGTCATTGCAAGGAGTCATTGCAAGGAGTCATTGCAAGGAGTCATTGCAAGGAGTCATTGCAAGGAGTCATTGCAAGGAGTCATTGCAAGGAGTCATTGCAAGGAGTCATTGCAAGGAGTCATTGCAAGGAGTCATTGCAAGGAGTCATTGCAAGGAGTCATTGCAAGGAGTCATTGCAAGGAGTCATTGCAAGGAGTCATTGCAAGGAGTCATTGCAAGGAGTCATTGCAAGGAGTCATTGCAAGGAGTCATTGCAAGGAGTCATTGCAAGGAGTCATTGCAAGGAGTCATTGCAAGGAGTCATTGCAAGGAGTCATTGCAAGGAGTCATTGCAAGGAGTCATTGCAAGGAGTCATTGCAAGGAGTCATTGCAAGGAGTCATGCAAGGAGTCAAGGATTGCAACTTGCACTTGACTCCTTGCACTTGCAACTTGCACTTGACTCCTGCACTTGCAACTTGCACTTGACTCCATGCACTTGGCTCCTTGCACTTGGCTCCTTGCACTTGGCTCCTTGCACTTGGCTCCTTGCACTTGCACTTGCACTTGCACTTAACTCCGTGCACTTGCGACTTGCACTTGACTCCATGCACTTGGCTCCTTGCAACTTGCAATGGCTCTCATGACTCCTTGCAATGACTCCTTGCAATGACTCCTTGCAATGACTCCTTGCAATGACTCCTTGCAATGACTCCTTGCCATGACTCCTTGCAATGACTCCTTGCAATGACTCCTTGCAATGACTCCTTGCAATGACTCCTTGAAACAAGCAAGGAGTCAAGTGCAAGTTGCAAGTGCAAGGAGTCAAGTGCAATTGACGTGCGAGGAGTCAAAATCTCTTCTTAGGGCGGCGGGGTAGTGCCGACGACGCTACACGAAAATCGACCCTCTGCGGGGATCGGCGTGGTCGAGGTGCAAAAACCCATGGTTTTTTGCGATTTCTGCGGTGCTCGCGCAACCCTCTGTGGGGATCGGCGTGGTCGAGGTGCAAAAACTCGAGGTTTTTTGCGATTTCTGCGGTGCTCGCGCAACCCTCTGCGGGAATCGGCGTGGTCGAGGTGCAAAAACGCAAGATTTTTTGCGACTTTTGTTGTTCGAACTGGTCCTCGGGAGTTGTCTCGTGGTTCGCGCGCCTGCTCCCGGAACCGGCGGGTCGCGGGTTCGATTCCTCCCTGGTCCGCGGGCGGGCGTCGCAAGATGCAACTTGCATTTTAAAGCAACTTGCGCAGAGCAACTTGCGCAGAGCAAGTTGCACAGAGCAACTTGCGCAGACCAACTTGCACCGACCAGTTTGCGCAGAGCGCCTTGCCTAGAGCAACTTGCGCAGAGCAACTTACGCAGAGCAACTTGCACAGAGCAACTTGCACAGAGCAGCTTGCACAGAGCAACTTGCAGGGAGCGCAATTTGCACAAGCAACTTGCAGGGAGCCACCTTGCAGGGACCAACTTGCCGGAGCAACTTGCGCGGAGCAACTTGCGCAGAGCAACTTGCACAGTGCAACTTGCGTAGAGCAACTTGCGCAGACCAACTTGCACTGACCAGTTTGCGCAGAGCACCTTGCCTGGTGCTGTCTCGCGCTTGCTTCACGAAGTGTAGGGAAAAAGAACGCATCCTGCAGCGTTGGGCCGACCTCGCTTGCGATGTTCTGCTTTCGGGCCAACCGTGGTCTAGTTCCCGAAAGCATGGCGAAGGGTTCTTCCGCTGGGTTCACTTGAGTTGTTCTCATGAGAGTCATTGCAAGGTGTCATTGCAAGGAATCATCATCATGAAAGTCAATGCAAGGAGTCATTGCAAGGAGTCATTGCAAGGAGTCATTGCAAGCAGTCATTGCAAGGAGGTATTGCAAGGAGTCATTGCAAGGAGTCATTGCAAGGAGCCATTGCAAGGAGTCATTGCAAGGAGTCATTGCAAGGAGTCATTGCAAGGAGTCATTGCAAGGAGTCATTGCAAGGAGTCATTGCAAGGAGTCATTGCAAGGAGTCATTGCAAGGAGTCATTGGAGTCATTGCAAGGAGTCATTGCAAGGAGTCATTGCAAGGAGTCATTGCAATTGGAGTCATTGCAAGGAGTCATTGCAAGGAGTCATTGCAAGGAGTCATTGGAGTCATTGCAAGGAGTCATTGCAAGGAGTCAGGAGTCATTGCAAGGAGTCATTGCAAGGAGTCATTGCAAGGAGTCATTGCAAGGAGTCAGTCATTGCAAGGAGTCATTGCAAGGAGTCATTGCAAGGAGTCATTGCAATTGGAGTCATTGCAATTGGAGTCATTGCAAGGAGTCATTGCAAGGAGTCATTGCAAGGAGCCGTTGCAAGGAGTCAAGTGCAAGTTGCATGCAAGGAGCCAAGTGCAAGTTGCAAGTGCAAGGAATCAAGTGCAAGTTGCAAGTGCATGGAGTAAAGTGCAAGTTGCAAGTGCAAGGAGTCAAGTGCAAGTTGCAAGTGCAAGGAGTCAAGTGCAATTGACTTGCGAGGAGTTAAAATCTCTTCTTAGGGCGGCGGGGTAGTGCCGACGACACTACACGAAAATCGACCCTCTGCGGGGATCGGCGTGGTCGAGGTGCAAAAAACCCATGGTTTTATTGCGATTTCTCGGTGCCGCGCGACCCTCTGCGGGGATCGGCGTGGTCGAGGTGCAAAAGCCCATGGTTTTTTGCGATTTCTAATGGCGCGACCCTCTGCGGGGATCGGCGTGGTCGAGGTGCAAAAACCCATGGTTTTTTGCGATTCCTCTAAAGTTCCCGCGCGACCCTCTGCGGGGATCGGCGTGGTCGAGGTGCAAAAACCGATGGTTTTTTGCGATTTCTGCGGTTCCCCTCCGCGCGACCCTCTGCGGGGATCGGCGTGGTCGAGGTGCAAAAACTCGAGGTTTTTTGCGATTTCTGCGGTGCTCGCGCAACCCTCTGCGGGGATCGGCGTGGTCGAGGTGCAAAAACTCGAGGTTTTTTGCGACTTTTGTTGTTCGAACTGGTCCTCGGGAGTTGTCTCGTGGTTCGCGCGCCTGCTCCCGGAACCGGCGGGTCGCGGGTTCGATTCCTCCCTGGTCCGCGGGCGGGCGTCGCAAGATGCAACTTGCATTTTAAAGCAACTTGCGCAGAGCAACTTGCGCAGAGCAAGTTGCACAGAGCAACTTGCGCAGACCAACTTGCACCGACCAGTTTGCGCAGAGCGCCTTGCCTAGAGCAACTTGCGCAACTTGCAGAGCAACTTGCACAGAGCAACTTGCACAGAGCAGCTTGTACAGAGCAACTTGCAGGGAGCGCAATTTGCACAGAGCAACTTGCAGGGAGCCACTTGCAGGGGCCAACTTGCCGGAGCAACTTGCACGGTGCAACTTGCGTAGAGCAACTTGCGCAGACCAACTTGCACCGACCAGTTTGCGCAGAGCACCTTGCCTGGTGCTGTCCCGCGCTTGCTTCACAAATGCTTCGTGGAGGGAAAAAGAACGCATCCTGCAGCGTTGGGCCGGCCTCGCTTGCGATGTTATGCTTTCGGGCCAACCGTGGTCTAGTTTTTTGTTTGGTTGCCCCGTTCCATGTTCTGCAGGACCCACTGGGGTCAGCTCCTCCTCCCAGTCTGCGGTCGACCTGAGGCTGGGCCTCGAGCTGCTTGCGGCCATGCCGCGGCGCCGCATCACGCCGGACCCGGCGAACTGCAACGCCGCCATGTCGGGGGCCCCGGAACACCCGGTGGGTTGGTTTGTTGCCGCCTCGGTGTTTATGCCCTTCTCAGGTTTAGGGGGACAACCACCATTCGGCGGGGGGGGGGGGGGGCAAATGTAGTTTGACACACTTGTATCAGGTACCCACCCCTGATCACCTTGGTGTACCCGTTGGTAGTATCAGGTACCCTCCCCTGTCACCTTGGTGTACCCGTTGATAGGGAGAACCGGGAATTATAGGTGGGGTATGACCTAGGATAACCACTGACCAATGCCACTTGGTTACCCCCAATGGAACCTGACAGCAGGGTAGCCTTTCTTGTTCGGATTTGGGGCTGTCAGCTGGATGCACCACAATGAGATGTAACTGCAGTTCTTTGCAAAGAGGACGCCATGCTGGCCAAACTTTCATTGCCATAGACACCTTCGAGACTGTAGGAGGGTGTTCCCCGCTTTGGAGGATGCTTTGTACAGCTTGCAGTGCCTTGTCACGTAAGAACCTTTCTCTCCTGCCCAAGGTTTTTTCTCCCTCGAAGGGTTTTCCTTGGTGCACCCTGGCCTGCTTGTGACCTCTGGCGAACACCACCGGGGGGCATTTGCCAAGCCCAAGGGATGGAGCTATTGGGGCTGAGGAGAGCTCAAGGATCCAGTGGGCCTCAAATACCCTCAAACAAATCGGGGCACAAAGCAGGCAGGCACATTAGATGCTGAAGTGGCCTTGCTGAACATGGTCCTTCGGACTCATCCCAAATTTGTACCATGAGAAAGCCAACGCTGCAAAGAGGCAACAGCTGCTGGGAGCTGAGCTTCACAAGAGTTCCTGTGGTTCCCAGCATCGGACTTTTGCAAACGCCGAGGTTTTCCAAACATTGGAACGACAGTTCCCAGAAGGACAGGCATGGGGCCCCCTTACCCCGGCCCAGAGCTTGGTGTCCCATGTCAGGCTGGGTGTGTCTGTTTTTTGGGTATGGTTCAAAGACAAACCGAGGGAACTGCCGCCCAGTTTGGTGGCTCCATATCCTTCCGAATCTCTGCCTTTGAATCGGCGTTCGCGCGAGGAACGTGTGTGGCAGGGCCCGGCAATGGCAGTGGACGTTGCAGCTGCTGCAGGGGCTCAACCGTCCCAACCGCATCAGCCCCCTGGCATCGAATAGTTCTCGCGACCGAAGGATTTCGCTCTGTGGGGCCTGGCTCCGTTGTTGGGGCTGGTTTAAAGAGATGACAACAGGAAACTGAAGCCCATTTCAGCAATCCATTTTTTAGACAAGGGCTTTCGAAGCTAAGCACTGAGCGCATGTTTGTTTCGATCAGATTCCGTCATCGCTGTTGAGACCTTTCCAATCCAATCACTAGGGGTCCGAAAACACAATTGAGTTTCCTTCAAAATGAGAGAACTTTCAAAACGGTCCGTTTCCTTTTGGTGTCCCTTTCAATCCAACCAAAAGAAAGGTTTGCCCCCCCCCCGACAAAACACAACCACACACTGTGAGATTCAGTTTCTGGCCAGGTTGACAACTAGGGTTTCTTAAACATCCACCCGGGCCAAAACGTTCCCCGCTGTTCTTGTCGCTTTGTCCGCAGGTTACAACACGGCCATCGCCGCGTGCAGCGGCCAGTGGCGCCTTGCGCTCCACCTCCTCGACGCCGGAAGCGGACTTGGCCGCTGGGACAGCGCCGGGTGCAGCGCGTTGCTGCAGGGCCTGGCGCACGGCGGCGTCTCGGCAGCCCGCCATGGCGCCATGAGCGCCATGGGCGCCAGGGGCGTGAATGAAAACTAAGCCAGCACCAAACCACAGGTCTTAGTCCATGTTTCCATTTACCAGGGTTTCATTTTGGGCACCTATTCTTACAGCCACATGGCGCCATGGGTGTCCCATTCAGTGGAACCTGGTTCCGGTGTTTGTGCCGGTGATTAGATACTGGGGTCCCCATGTAGACGAAATATGAAGCTGAATCCTTTGCGGATGGTGAGTTCCCGCCAGTGTAACCATCCACCTGTCTCCTGCCCGAATCAAACATGGGGTTTCATCCCCTTTTGGGAGACAGGCTACTAGCAGCTACTAGTGGGGTCCAGAAATCCAATTTCCCTATTGGGGTCTCCTCTGAATGGGGTGCATGCGTGTGTATTGGGTGGTTTGGCGGACCCTTCCACCCGTTTGGGATCCCCCGCCTTTGAGAAAGCAAGCCCCCAAGCATGTTTGGTTGCAACGTTGTCCCTCTGATGTTAAGTTATGTGTCAGAAAAGGGGACAACTGTGAATTTCCCATGTTTTCAGGAGAGCTTTGTAGGGATGGTTCGCATATCAGCAGAACATGGAGGTCAATTTCAACACAAGCTGCGTTTCAAACACAGCCTCAAAGCACGGGCATGTTGAAAAAATAGCTTCAAATACATGGGCTATAATTAACCTAAAAACGTGGGCGGGGTGGCTTCCAAAAAACCGGGTGCCAGCGTGAGAGCCGTTTGGGCACCGGTGGCCTCAGCTTCGCTCTCGGCACGCGCCACGCCTTGAGGCCGGTGGTCCACGTGCCTGGCGCTGTTGGTGGCCATGGAGTCGCGGCGCGTCAGCCCTGGGGACTTCGACGTCGCCCAGGACCCGTCGGGTCCGGGGGCCCATTGGTTTAAACATGTTTAAACCACTGGTTATGATGAGTCTTCCCTTGAAGGGTGGTGTTTAAATCATATTTTCCCCACCCAGCCATCGACCCATCGACCCATCGACCCATCTGGAGCTTGAGATGGGCCAGGCTCAAGAAAGCCCCCTTTTTGGAGCTTGGAAATCATTTGGGGTCCCCTTTGAGACATACCCACATGTGGTGAAGCACGGTAAGCTTAAGTCTCCCTGCCTGGTTAGCCCGCAGTAGCCTTACGTGTGTGGGTACCCTTTTCCTGAACGGAAACAACAGCACCAATGATCAGGGAGTCCTTGCCTTGGCTGACCCGAGGGTCTCCTTGTTTATCAAGGCCTTGCAAGACTTAGGTTGGACTCCTTAGGTTCTCAGCTTCCATTGGATGAATTGTTCTCTAAATCCGCACTTGCCAGGTTACCTAAGTGAACCACCTTATGTCTTGAAATAGAGGACCTCTCCAGGTGGTAGCCGAGCAAGAAAGCAAGAGCCGTCAGAAGTCGTCAGTTGGGCGCGCAAGCCACCAGGAAAGCCCATTTTGTGGTTTTGATGTGATATCATCTGACGTTCTTGGGTTTCCATCATTTTTGCTTTGAAAACGCCTTCGGAGGCTGCGGAAGGTGTTTGACCACATCCTTGCGTCCCCGGGATGTGACAGGAAGCCGCCAGTTGGATGGTTGAGAAGGGTGGCTATCCGTCCTTTTTGAGTTGGCACTTGTTTTGTGCAAGCCAAAAGGAGCACCTCCAATTTGGGAGTCCTCTAAAAACACCACACCCATGTAGTTAACTGCCATTTTTGCGATGTGCTTTGCAGACATTGCATGGCAGAAACCCGGGAAACAACTAGATATGGGATTGAACAATGGTCAAAGGTTCGGAGGAACAGTTTTGGGATGCCGCGCACCAACCCCTAAACCAATCCCTGATCTCTGAGGCACCCAACCGACGCCCTAAACTCTGAACCGACCCCAAACTGACTGAAACGTAAACAACCCCCGACCACCCAAAGAAATCCGACCCCTAAACTCCAACCCCCCCAAACCACCCCTAAACTCCAAACCCCCAAACCACCTCTAAACCTAGCATAACCCAGCCACCCCAGACTCCGCCACTCAACCCACCCCGATGCCGACGTCCTTTTGGTCCAGGCGCTGCTGGCCGGCTCCCCGGACGCGGCCCTCAGCATGGCGTCTGCCGGGCGCCTGAGTTTCAACACAGCGCTGGAGCAGCGCCTTGGCGAACTTCAGCGACCGAGCCGCACGAAAGGGACCCTCCACCACTTCCATTTCAGCCAAGATCTTTTCTTTGGTTCGCCCTTGGTTTTCAAAGTTGGAATCTTTACTGGAAAGTTGTTCTCGTTTTTTTCCCAGGGGGCTTAAGCAACTGGACCTTCAACATGGGTGGCTCGCCTGTTTTCCTGGTTAGGCCTCGGTTTCCTGTTGGCTTCCCTTGAACATTTACCGAAAAGGGTACCCTCAAAGAAAGTTTGACCCAAACATCAACATAAACATAAACATGGGTGCGTTGCCACCTGAAATCATGGTTGGTGAATGCCGTCCCCTTTTTGTAGGGTAGTTGGGGTCCAACCAGATTTCTTGGCAATCAGTTTCAATCAGTATCCTAACCTGCCAAGAAAATCTAATTCTTGAATGACATGTTCCATCAAACGGCAATCCAGCATGTTCCATCGTTGAGGCCACGCCATCGCCACCAAAGACTTCCGGACAGGGGGCGAGCCTTGTTTTGAGGGTACCCTTTTCAAGGCTGGTTTAAAGGGAAACCAAAGGAACGCCACTAAATTCGGGGGGCCGCATTTTGAGACAAGCCATGGTTTTGTACTCCGGATGCATGGGCGTCCTTTCTAGGTTAGTTTGATTAGTAATAGATGGCACTGGTTTAGATTTGTTTTATTCCAATTTTCAGGGCCATCCATTTTCCAAAAAGGACAACTTTGCTCAGAACGAGCGTTTGGATCGGAGTACCACGGGTCGCGGTCGCAACTTGAAAGGATGGATGGAGAGGGAAATCATGCGCACAACACACACACACACACGATTCACTCGCTGATCATCATTCTGACTGGACTGGGGCCATTCCCCCCAACAGAATACATCTCAATCCGGCCCACACCCGCCTCCAACCCCCCAGCCCCCAGCCTCCAACCCCCCAGCCCCGAACGAACCCCAGCGATTGCGCGGAGGCACAGCCGGGCGCTGCAGTGGCGGAACTGCCTGCAGCTCCTCATAGCGATGCCGGCGCGGCGCATACCGCCGGACGCGCCGCCCGGACGCCGGACGTGGTTGGACCCGATGGGATGGGGCAATTCTTGTTGCGCCACGGGGCTGCATGCTCGACATCTAACATGAAATAACTACTTGATGTCCATTTCAATCACCCCAAAAAGGGGGTTCCCCTCTAAAGGAGCCACACAAAAGAAACCAGAAGGGAGATCTGCTGTTGAAATTGGTGGATCCGTGTCGCCATCGGATTGTATCCGGGCTTGGCCTCCAGTAGTAACATATGCCATCGCAGCCGTTGCCAACGCACAGCGGGATGATAAGTGAAGCTTCAAAAAATCTCGTTTAACAGGAAGCCACAACTGGCATTCAGTTCTCGTATTTTTCCAGCCACCTGGATCGCCAGTTGCTGTTTTTTCCATCCACTTTACCCCAACAACCAGCAACAGTGACTGAAAAAAGCAGCAACTTGGCTATCTAGGCACCTCCTTTACAATCTTTCTCCACTTCGCCGTAAGGTACAGCTACGGCCTCACGATCAGCTCCTGTGACTGGCAAATGGCGCTGCGCCTGCTGGGGGTGATGCCTGCCAGAGACCTGCAGCCAGAGCGGAAGCAATTTCAGGCAGCTCCGTCCAGTGTGGCGAGCTAGCCGAAACCCTTGCGTAGATGCCAGGCAAGTGGTTCAATCTTTTGTCCAGGTGATGTAAGGATGCCTGGAGTTTGAATTGCACAATTGTGTGTGTGTGTGTGTGTGTGTGTGTGTGTGTGTGTGTGTGTGTGTGTGTGTGTGTGTGTGTGTGTGTGTGTGTGTGTGTGTGTGTGTGTGTGTGTGTGTGTGTGTGTGTGTGTGTGTGTGTGTGTGTGTGTGTGTGTGTGTGTGTGTGTGTGTGTGTGTGTGTGTGTGTGTGTGTGTGTGTGTGTGTGTGTGTGTGTGTGTGTGTGTGTGTGTGTGTGTGTGTGTGTGTGTGTGTGTGTGTGTGTGTGTGTGTGTTTGTGTGTGTGTGTGTGTGTGTGTGTGTGTGTGTGTGTGTGTGTGTGTGTGTGTGTGTGTGTGTGTGTGTGTGTGTGTGTGTGTGTGTGTGTGTGTGTGTGTGTGTGTGTGTGTGTGTGTGTGTGTGTGTGTGTGTGTGTGTGTGTGTGTGTGTGTGTGTTTTTGTGCGTTGCAGTGTCTTCTGTTTTTGCGCACTTGGTTTTGACTCATATTGGTACAAGCATGCTGAGTTATATGCAATGCATGAGACGCATTCAGCTCGAGTGCCGGCGTGTCCAGATCACACATGGCGTGCGTCTGCTTGCTGGATGGCACGGATGTGATGACGACGGCGGAGTATTCTCTGTGGCGGGACAAGTTTTGCAGACAGGAAGGTGGAGAGTGGTTTTTCGACGCATTGCGACGCCACCTGGCCAAGAGATCCCCGGTTGCCGATTGGTACCCGGTTTTCCTCTTTTGGATTGTATTTCCTCAAGATCAACCAACAGAACCAAATCAAACTATGTTTTCATGCAAACTGACCAAATAAGGATTTCCTGTGCCAAATTTCAGGCAGCTCGCGCTGGCTGGCGACAACGGCATGTTGGGGCCACAGAGTCCGTGGGAGAATGCTGAGTGCCTGACGGTGATTAAGCAGCAATATGTTGAGGCAGCCTCAGGTGAAGCAGACGGTCTAGCAAATTGCATAGACTTGCTGCGAGCGGCAGAAACAGGCGACACACAACAAGTAATAAAGCTGTTGGATGAGCCTCATGATCCCAATGCTGCAAGCAGAGACAACCATATGACACCCTTGTCATATGCTTCCGCAAATGGCCATCTCGAAGTTGTGCAGTGCTTGCTGGACGCCGGTGCTGCCAAAGACAAGGCAGACAACCAGGACTTTACACCATTGCTTCTTGCTGCAGAGCAGGGCCATCAGGCAGTTGTGCAGTGCTTGCTGGATGCCGGTGCTGACAAAGAGAAGGCACACAACAATGGTGGCACACCATTGCATTTCGCTGCAGCGCAGGGCCATCAGGCAGTTGTGCAGTGCTTGCTGGACGCCGGTGCTGCTAAAGACAAGGCAGACAACCAGGACTTTACACCATTGCTTCTTGCTGCAGAGCAGGGCCATCAGGCAGTTGTGCAGTGCTTGCTGGATGCCGGTGCTGACAAAGAGAAAGCAAAAATCCTTGGTGGCACAGCATTGCATTTCGCTGCAGCGCAGGGCCATCAGGCAGTTGTACAGTGCTTGCTGGACGCCGGTGCTGCCAAAGACAAGGTAGACAACCAGGACTTTACACCATTGCTTCTTGCTGCAGAGCAGGGCCATCAGGCAGTTGTGCAGTGCTTGCTGGATGCCGGCGCTGACAAAGATAAAGCAAAAATCAATGGTGGCACAGCATTGCATTTCGCTGCAGCGCAGGGCCATCAGGCAGTTGTGCAGTGCTTGCTGGATGCCGGTGCTGACAAAGAGAAGGCCATGAGTTTTGCTGCAGAGCAAGGGCATCAGGCAGTTGTGAGGTGCTTGCTTGATGCCGATGCTGACAAAGAGAAAGCAGACGACAATGGGGCCACATCGTTCTTTGTTGCTGCAGATTGGGGCCTTTGAGCAGTTGCCGGTGCTGACAAAGACAAAGCAGACGACAATGACGACACATCATTCCTAGTTGCTGCAGATCGGGGCCATCACGCGGTTGTGCAGTGCTTGCTTGATGCCCGTGACACCAAGAGAAGGGGTTCCAACGTGAGCGAAACATGATTACGGGTTCGCTACATAGCAGGTTTATCATAAGAGCTGCGCGGCGCTTTGTAGGGTGCTCCGGGCCTCTAAAATATTTCTGAGCCCACGGGGTAAAAGATTGGTTTGCTTGATTATTGGCTTCCCTGTATCAGGTAGCAGTTTCATACCCCTGTCCCAAGACTTTTATTTGGAGCAAACCTGTGGGTGCACTTTTTATTGTACGTTTGCTCGCTTGGTGTTTTGGGAAATGGGCATGCATTGTATATTTGGCACCGTGGATTCCTTGATGCCGCAAGTGAATCAAGGTCAAACTACAACCCGCTGGTCATGCGTGATGTGTTGCTTCCTTTGTAAATTCGAATGCGACACCTGGCGAAACGAGGCCGTTCCATTCAATTTATTTGGGTTGTCATTTTTTCAGAACAGGGGACCCTGGTAGTGCGCTTTTTGCGCATTTTGAGGCTTGCAGTCTTCTCATGGGCCAGCCATGTCAGTTGCACTTGCTCTAATACGAATAGAGGCAACATCTTGAAAACAAGAAAATCACAACTCGCGGAAAACCAAAAAACAGCAACAATAAAACCTCGAGAAACCCAAAAAGCACATGAGTCACAATCAAAGCCCGGTACAAAAATGGTCGACCCAGAACCATGTAAAGAACTAAGAAGGCGGCCGCAGCTATTTATGGCTGAACCTTCACTTACCCTGGTTTTGATTGTGGCTCACATGGTTTAGAAACTCTTTGGAGCACAACCCATGTTGAAAGAGTTCTGGAAACAATTGTTTTTTGTTTCTTTGTTTTTTGGGTTATCTCGAGTTGTTTGTTTTATGTTTGTTTTGTTTTGGTTGTTGTTTTCCTCGAGTTTTTTGGTTTTCTCAAGGCTTTTGAGTGTTTGTTTTGTTTTCCTCGAGTTTTGTTGCTTAGTGTTTCTGTTTTTGTTTTCCGTTTTTTTCTCGAGTTTATTCTATGTATAAGATGGGTCCTCCTCTGTTCTTGGCTGCTTCTGTATAGTACACTTCTTTCGTGAGCAGCCACGATTTCTCATGTCATGAGTCCCGGCACGATTGAAATCAGAGGCGCGGCAGTCGGCTTTGCTGGAATAGAACACAGCACAACATGGCTGAATACTATTGATGGTCATTGGGCAGTGCACATGCCAAGACAAAGACTTCCCAGTCCCACATTCCTGCTGCCTACTTGTTTTGCTTACCTGCATGGTCCTATAGATCCAAGCAAACTCCTTGAGAAAACCAAGCAAAAACAACTAGACCACGGTTGGCCCGAAAGCAGAACATCGCAAGCGAGGTCGGCCCAACGCTGCAGGATGCGTTCTTTTCCCGAAAGCATGGCGAAGGGTTCTTCCGCTGGGTTCACTTGAATTGTTCTCATGAGAGTCATTACAAGGTGTCATTGCAAGGAATCATCATCATGAAAGTCAAGGCCAGGAGTCATTGCAAAGAGTCATTGCAAGGAGTCATTGCAAGGAGTCATTGCAAGGAGTCATTGCAAGGAGTCATTGCAAGGAGTCATTGCAAGGAGTCATGGCAAGGATTGCAACTTGCACTTGACTCCTTGCACTTGCAACTTGCACTTGACTCCTTGCACTTGCAACTTGACTCCATGCACTTGCAACTTGCACTTGACTCCATGCACTTGGCTCCTTGCACTTGGCTCCTTGCACTTGGCTCCTTGCACTTGGCTCCTTGCACTTGCAACTTGCACTTAACTCCGTGCACTTGCGACTTGCACTTGACTCCATGCACTTGGCTCCTTGCAACTTGCAATGGCTCTCATGACTCCTTGCAATGACTCCTTGCAATGACTCCTTGCAATGACTCCTTGCAATGACTCCTTGCAATGACTCCTTGCAATGACTCCTTGCAATGACTCCTTGCCAATGACTCCTTGCAATGACTCCTTGCAATGACTCCTTGCAATGACTCCTTGCAATGACTCCTTGCAATGACTCCTTGAAACAAGCAAGGAGTCAAGTGCAAGTTGCAAGTGCAAGGAGTCAAGTGCAATTGACTTGCGAGGAGTTAAAATCTCTTCTTAGGGCGGCGGGGTAGTGCCGACGACACTACACGAAAATCGACCCTCTGCGGGGATCGGCGTGGTCGAGGTGCAAAAACCCATGGTTTTTTGCGATTTCTAACCTGCTCGCGCGACCCTCTGCGGGGATCGGCGTGGTCGAGGTGCAAAAACCCATGGTTTTTTGCGATTTCTGCGGTGCTCGCGCAACCCTCTGCGGGAATCGGCGTGGTCGAGGTGCAAAAACTCAAGGTTTTTTGCGACTTTTGTTGTTCGAACTGGTCCTCGGGAGTTGTCTCGTGGTTCGCGCGCCTGCTCCCGGAACCGGCGGGTCGCGGGTTCGATTCCTCCCTGGTCCGCGGGCGGGCGTCGCAAGATGCAACTTGCATTTTAAAGCAACTTGCGCAGAGCAACTTGCGCAGAGCAAGTTGCACAGAGCAACTTGCGCAGACCAACTTGCACCGACCAGTTTGCGCAGAGCGCCTTGCCTAGAGCAACTTGCGCAGAGCAACTTACGCAGAGCAACTTGCACAGAGCAACTTGCACAGAGCAGCTTGCACAGAGCAACTTGCAGGGAGCGCAATTTGCACAGAGCAACTTGCAGGGAGCCACTTGCAGGGACCAACTTGCCGGAGCAACTTGCGCGGAGCAACTTGCGCAGAGCAACTTGCACAGTGCAACTTGCGTAGAGCAACTTGCGCAGACCAACTTGCACCGACCAGTTTGCGCAGAGCACCTTGCCTGGTGCTGTCTCGCGCTTGCTTCACGAAGTGTAGGGAAAAAGAACGCATCCTGCAGCGTTGGGCCGACCTCGCTTGCGATGTTCTGCTTTCGGGCCAACCGTGGTCTAGTTTCCCTACACTTCGTGAAGCAAGCGCGAGACAGCACCAGGCAAGGTGCTCTGCGCAAACTGGTCGGTGCAAGTTGGTCTGCGCAAGTTGCTCTACGCAAGTTGCACTGTGCAAGTTGCTCTGCGCAAGTTGCTCCGCGCAAGTTGCTCCGGCAAGTTGGTCCCTGCAAGTTGCTCTGTGCAAATTGCGCTCCCTGCAAGTTGCTCTGTGCAAGCTGCTCTGTGCAAGTTGCTCTGTGCAAGTTGCTCTGCGTAAGTTGCTCTGCGCAAGTTGCTCTAGGCAAGGCGCTCTGCGCAAACTGGTCGGTGCAAGTTGGTCTGCGCAAGTTGCTCTGTGCAACTTGCTCTGCGCAAGTTGCTCTGCGCAAGTTGCTTTAAAATGCAAGTTGCATCTTGCGACGCCCGCCCGCGGACCAGGGAGGAATCGAACCCGCGACCCGCCGGTTCCGGGAGCAGGCGCGCGAACCACGAGACAACTCCCGAGGACCAGTTCGAACAACAAAAGTCGCAAAACACCTTGAGTTTTTGCACCTCGACCACGCCGATTCCCGCAGAGGGTTGCGCGAGCACCGCAGAAATCGCAAAAAACCATGGTTTTTGCACCTCGACCACGCCGATCCCCGCAGAGGGTCGCGCGAGCAGCAGAAATCGCAAAAAACCATGGTTTTTGCACCTCGACCACGCCGATCCCCGCAGAGGGTCGCGCGAGCACCGCAGAAATCGCAAAAAACCATGGGTTTTTGCACCTCGACCACGCCGATCCCCGCAGAGGGTCGCGCGAGCAGGTTAGAAATCGCAAAAAACCATGGGTTTTTGCACCTCGACCACGCCGATCCCCGCAGAGGGTCGATTTTCGTGTAGTGTCGTCGGCACTACCCCGCCGCCCTAAGAAGAGATTTTAACTCCTCGCAAGTCAATTGCACTTGACTCCTTGCACTTGCAACTTGCACTTGACTCCTTGCTTGTTTCAAGGAGTCATTGCAAGGAGTCATTGCAAGGAGTCATTGCAAGGAGTCATGGGAGTCATTGCAAGGAGTCATTGGGAGTCATTGCAAGGAGTCATTGCAAGGAGTCATTGCAAGGAGTCATTGCAAGGAGTCATTGCAAGGAGTCATGAGAGCCATTGCAAGTTGCAAGGAGCCAAGTGCATGGAGTCAAGTGCAAGTCGCAAGTGCACGGAGTTAAGTGCAAGTTGCAAGTGCAAGGAGCCAAGTGCAAGGAGCCAAGTGCATGGAGTCAAGTGCAAGTTGCAAGTGCATGGAGTCAAGTGCAAGTTGCAAGTGCAAGGAGTCAAGTGCAAGTTGCAAGTGCAAGGAGTCAAGTGCAAGTTGCAATCCTTGCCATGACTCCTTGCAATGACTCCTTGCAATGACTCCTTGCAATGACTCCTTGCAATGACTCCTTGCAATGACTCCTTGCAATGACTCCTTGCAATGACTCCTTGACTCCTTGCAATGACTCCTTGCACTCCTTGCAATGACTCCTTGCAATGACTCCTTGCAATGACTCCTTGCAATGACTCCTTGCAATGACTCCTTGCAATGACTCCTTGCAATGACTCCTGACTCCTTGCAATGACTCCTTGCAATGACTCCTTGCAATGACTCCTTGCAATGACTCCTTGCAATGACTCCTTGCAATGACTCCTTGCAATGACTCTCATGATGATTCCTTGCAATGACACCTTGTAATGACTCTCATGAGAACAACTCAAGTGAACCCAGCGGAAGAACCCTTCGCCATGCTTTCAGGAAAACATGGCTTATAGATCCCAACAACATCCTCGAGAAAACCAAAAAACAAAACATGGTTTATAGATCCCAACAAAACCCTTGAGAAAACCCAACAAAACAAGACATGGTTTAGATAATTCTTGGTGCACAACCCATGTTAAAAGAGTTCTGGAACCATGGTTATTGTTGCTTTTTGTTGCTTGATTTTCTCGAGTTGGTTTTGCTGCTTGTGGTTTCCTCGAGCTGTTTTTTCTTTTTTGTTTGCCTTTCTCTCGTTCTTTTTGTTCTCCTGTTTTCTCTGTTTTTTGGCTTTCAGTGTCTATGATGGGTCTACTTCTGTTCTCGGGTTTTTGTTTGTTGTCCAGGTCCCTTTTAATTTTGAATCCTATGTTTTAACTTGGAATTCCAAGCCTCTAGAATGTTGATTAGATGTAAGCAAAATGCACATAAAATATGGTAGGGATAGGCAGGCTGTTTCTTCTAGTGAGTTTAACTAGGCTCGACTTCTTACACTTGATTGGATGCTTAAGCGAATTAATGAGAGTTCGTGATGTAACAATGATTGACATGGGAGTTCCTTTGAAAGTAGGACTTTAAGTAAAATTAACTTCAACAGATGTAAGTTAGTCACTCAGAAAAAACAACCAGCTTGTAACTCTAGTTGCATGGTTTTGCAACTCTGATTAAGTTTTGGATAGGGGTTCCTATTCAGACTTGGAAGGTCATTCTGTTTGAATTATGATTCAATTAATGAAGGCCCTGTCTCTTTGCATTTCTATTCCAATTGGCTTGCAAGCTTTAGATTGCAAGGCTTTAAGTTTAAATTGGAATTCGGATAGAATTCACTTGATTCAAACTGCCGTTTTGATTTAGACGTTAAATAGTACTTCCCTTGGGTTTCTACTGGTTGTTCACTCCTTTTGAGGGGCTTGAAAGTGTGAAGAACACCAAGCTTGGTTCTCCTTATTAGCTGCTTTATAAATCCCAATTTGATTGCTACTTGAGGAAGCCCTATGTTAATTCTATTTCAGCATACTATTTTACATTGAATTCATGAGTTAAGCTTAAAACGCGGCAATTTATCGCTTGTAAACCATTACCACTGAAATAACATCGTCCTTGCGCTTCTGGTGTTTCACGTCTTTTTAAGGGACCGGCAAAATAGTAGAAACAAGCTTGTTTTTCCATACTGGAATCGCTTTGAATTCTCATTCAACTCGAATGCCAACAGGAATGAAAGAAAGATGCTTCGAGAATTGCAGATACGTTGGCTTGAATGAGCAGCAGCATGTTTTACAATGGTTGCTTCAGAACTCGCAGCTACGAACACTCATCAGATAGTGCATGCAACTTCCTTGAGACATCAACCCTTAAAATCACACAAAAGTGCACTACCTCAGTCTCTCAGTCTCCTTTTTTGGGGGGGTACTTCATTCTTCTGGATTTTAAGGGCAACCAACGGAAGCCCACCCAGTTTGGGGCAGTGTTAGGGCCATCCAGTTGCTTCGGGCTGCTATTCCAGTGGACTCCAGTTGGAGGTAAGAATCCATGCTTCTTCAGGAAGAGCGCAAACGGCAAGTGGCAGGGTTTTCTTGAACGCATCAGATGTGGGCAGCCCGTTTCGGTCTAAGCTTGGTCATACAGGATTTCAATGCGTTTACATTTCATATCCAACTCCCTTGGGCAGGGCCAGCAAAAACTACGGATAGTTTGGAAGGGAAACAAACGGTGACTTCAGGTACAGCCCTCCATGAACCAGGGGGCCCCAAGAACAACCTAAAGTCTGGCGGCAAAATTGTTGCGACCCTCTGTGGGTCCAACAGATCCCCTGCGGCGGCAACACGACACCATTCACTCGTTTCAACAAAGACTCTCGTGTTTGACTGTCCCTCCCCCCTCCATCCAAGTTCTGCAGGAAAGGAACTTCCCGACAGATGTGCCATCCCCATCCACGCAACCTTGTAAGATTCCACCCTGCCACTACCCCCAGGTCTTGACTGGCATATACAGCCATTAGGTAATATCAAGGGTGCAGACCCCGCTTCCCTCTGGGGTGGCTTCGGTTTGGGGATGGAAGCCAACCCCTTTGAGGCGGCCGCTGGGGTCTGTGCACACGCGGGGCAGTGGGGTGCTATCCTGCGGCTGCTTCACAGCCTGCCGCGAAATACGGGCACAGGGGGTGCAGCAGCAGTTGCGCCTTGGATGAATCGATGGATGCCGTGAAATCGTCTTACAGTTAGCACAACTTTTTGTAGCAGATGTCAATGCGAGAAAATATGATACAATGTAACACAATGTAATGTAAGTACAACACCGTAGGCTTCAGTATTTGATTTGTAATGTCTGTAATGCGGTAGCAAGGCGGACCTCCTGACAGGTCGGGGCAGATATCGTCCGGACTTGATGCTTGTAGAAGGCGCTTTCCCATGCCTCGATCAAGGCCTCGCTTGTTTTGAATCCAAACTGGATCAGCTATAAAGAGCGCACAGATCGAGGGTGAAACTGGGCCTGCTGTGGATGGACGAGATCCGTTCCCACCACTTTGAAACCATGGGAAACCATGGTTTGTCGGTATTTACAGGTGAATCATCATTCCAGGGTTTCTTGGGTGGTGCAGGATGTCGTCCATCCACGGTAAGAAGGTCCTCTGGGAAGGTCCTTGTTTTCTTGCTCCCAGATCCTTCCTTTGGTCAGACAAGCCCAAGACTCGCTCCCACGTCGCGATCAGAGAGCGCTGGCGCTCCAAACAACGTGCTGATCAGGGCTTGGTTTCGCCACAGAAAGGGGTTGCACCCAAGGGAGCCGCTCTCTGTGGGGTTCAAATTCATTGACGCGTCTAATTAGGTGTTTCTTCAAGCGAGAATGTTGAATGGGAGAGACCAACTTGTTGCGAGCCTCCTCAGCTCAACTCAAGCTCGGCTCAGCAGGATGCATGTCATGGGGCTCAACTCCTTGTTAACATCTTCTTGCAGTAACAATCAAGTTTTGCACGCCCTTTAGTCCTCATTTGGGTGACCTCATGTTTGATTGGGGTCAGAAGGAGACTCCAAGTGATACATGGCCCACTTGCCCGATGCCGGCAAACTATTTTTAGAGAAGGCCCCAAAAGGTGATACCCCCTCGCACTAACGTGACACATTTGTGGGAGGGTATGTGGACCTGTTAGGTGCCATGGACTCTCAAACTTCCCTTGAGACCACACCAGCCAGAATTTCTGGGTTTGCAAGAACCTCACATGTTTCTTGTTTCCCCATACTTCTGGGTTGCAAGGACTCTCATTTTTGATTTGGCATTTTTTTTGCGGCGGGTCGGCACACGGCGCGGGCGCGCCGCACGCCGAGGTGGACTTCGCGCTGGCGGACTGCGCCTTTGCGGCGCAGGGGCTCTGCGCGGCGGAGCTGCTGAAGGCCTGCGGGCGCCTGCGCCTGGACCCAGATGCAGCAGGCTGGAGGGCTTTTGGGTTGGGCTGGTTGGGAGGTTGGGAGGTTGGGAGGTTGGGAGGTTGGGAGGTTGGGAGGTTGGGAGGTTGGGAGGTTGCTGTTTTTTTTGGCTTTTGGTTGGGCGGTTGGGGCAGGTGTTGGGGGGCTGGGAGGTTGCGTCCACGCTCTTGTTTTATGTTTGTTTTTGGGCGGTTGGCCGGGGTTGTGGCGGTACGGCCCAAGCGGCAGATGTGCGTCGGAAGGCCGGCGGGGCCTTGCCATCAAGGCCTGCGGCAAGGCGCGCAGCTGGCAGCTGGCGCTGTCCCTCGATGCAGCCGTGGCCCGGCAGGGGCCGAAGGACCATTGTGGCCTTGGGAGCCTTAGTTGTCGGTTCGGACTTCTGACCCCTCATTGTTTGGTTTTGGCAGTTTTTGTTGGAGGGGTTGAACTAAATCACTGGGACCTGTTGGGAAGGCCTTGTGGTGGCACATGTTGGTACGTGATTGTGCGAAGACGTTTACATCATGTTGATGGCTTCTGTTTGGAAGCAGCCCTTTCTCAGCACGGCTGCAGGCAGCCTGTTTGCAACTCGTCCTGCGCGGTTGCATCGGCTAGAGTCCTGCACGCAGAAATGCTGGCCAGTGAAACGACCCATCACGCGGGGCAATGCTGGTGACGTTTGCAGCTTGCGAACAGCGATGCGGGAGTCAGGGGGGCCACTTGACACAGGGCAATCCCGGCAAGCTCTGCAGAAGTCTTAGCATTCACTGAAGTGGGCAGGTAGATCAGGCGTGAGAGAATCATGAACAGGGTTTGCGAATTCCCAGCAAGGCTGTCATGAAATTCAGTAGGCACTCAGCAAGTCTCCTGGGCTGTGGGATTTGCGGTCGGTGGAGTTTTCGGGACCTGGATCTTTGTGTGCCGCCTCGGGCGAACACCAGGTGCCAGCCCCAAGGCTTGAAGCAGTTTCTGTGTCCAGGTTGTGCAAATCTCGGATAGGGAGATCCTTATTCCCTTGAATGCCCGAAATCCACTCTTTCATTGCCTCTGGGGTCAAGAAAGCAGGTTTTCCGACACGTCGGGAGAGGTACATCCAGCGGCGTTCGGCTCAGGGACACTCCGCAAGTGATAGTATGATCGCCAACTCACCATGCCCCAAGTCCTCCCCAAGAATATTCCATTGGCCCAGGGTTTCTAGCCACCCAAGTACCTTGACTCTGACTTACACAGGTGTTACACCCATGGTGACTCAACCCTTCCCCGGACGTACCGCAAGCGATCGTTTGGTCGCTGGAGTCGTGAGTCGGAGGCGGAAGAGGAGATGCTGCTGGCCGCCGGCATGGCCGGGCAGTGGGAGGTGGTGCTCAGCTTGCTCTGGAGGCGCTGCAAAGGGGAGGTGGCGTGCAGCTTGGGTCTCAAAATGAAGCAACCGGTCCCTTAGATCAGCGCTTAGATTGGCGTCCGGTCCCTTATTAGGCTTTTGGCAATTTTGGCTGGTTTAGTGAGGTTTCCAATGAACCCCTGTTTCAATCGTGGACATACAAACGTGGAACGGGAGGGGGGTTCCCAGCCCGGGTTGACTCCATCTGCCAGGCTTCTGGGCCCATTGAAACAACTTCAGTTGATCAACCTCCTTCAGGCGTCCGCAGGGAGTGCTTTGTTTGCCCGTCTCAAGAAGCCGGGCGAAAGGACCAAAACCAGGCGTATCTCAGGTTGCCGGTTCTTAATCCTTTCTTGGGGTGGTTCGTATGAGTGTTTTGGCTATGTAAGGATTTACCAATTCATCCTTCAGGGCTTCGGATGTATTGATTTGGCATTGAAGAGCACGAGTGTGGTGTTTACCCGCCTTGCAGGACATTTTGTTGACTGCGGCCCAACAGAGAACTTCTACATACGTCAAGAGTGCGCCCCTTCGTTTCTCAAAAAAAGTCGTGTCCAGAGGCGAAGCCCGGTATGCCTAACGTCCCCAAGCCGCACAAGGGTCAGGGGCTCAAATCAGCCTAGGCCAAAGAACCCCGATGAAGTCCCCAATTGGTTGGCCCCTGATAGGTCAGAATAAGACCTGAAGCGCCTTGACCCCACCTGGTTGGTTTCCTCTTGGGATCCGTGTGCGCTTCGCTTGGGAAAACTGGAATGCGCCAGGTCTGCCAAGCCGAAGCTCCCGTGCTTCAATGAGGCCTTATGCTGCTTGGCTTAGGAGGTGCAAACCTTCACGTGCGTCAGATCTTTGGCCAGTGGCCAAACAGCCCACAGATTCCAGGGTTGCAAGTCCTTTAAGAGGGCCATGCTAAGTGGGCCATGCTGCTAAACACTCTCTGGTTATTTCGGCTACGGGCAGAAGCGAGATGCGACACAACAGTCGGGGAAAGAGTTTTCAAGCACCGCAGGGTTTTCCGTTGTTAATGAACTTGATGGAGAAAGACACGAACAATTCAAAAGCGCAGGAGTCTTTGTGGTGTGTCAGGCAGAAGGACCATCCCAAACCGACACAATCAATAGTTGGCGCTCCTCATTCTCCGGGCCTCAATTGCTTTGTTGATACGGTGCAAAACAACAAAGCACATGCTTCCATGATTGATCCTTTGTCGGCCCCTTTCTTGGGTTTCCTCCGGCGGACTGCTTGCTCTTGAATGGGACGAATGGGAACGTAACACGTGCGCTCCGGGTTGAGCAAGTTTGTGTTCCCATTCCGTGAGGATTCCTGGAACAGGTGGCCCGAGCCCAAGTAGGATTGGCCCACAGCCAAAGGCATGCTGACAAATTCGACTGCTGAAATGTGCATTCGGTTTTACTTTCTAGGCTTCAAGGGAATGACTGCTGAACATGCTTTGTGCTTCTTCCAGGGTGCTTTTTCGCAAATGGAATCGGGGTCGGCTTGGAGCAACCTCTCCCCGGCTTGAGGCACCTTGCAGACGGCAAACCTGTGGAGGTGCCGGACCCGGTGTGGGTTTCCCTGACCCCTGGCGGCTGAGGGGTGATTGTAGTGTGCCTGGAATATGAGAAAGAACAGGGGGAAAAAAACAGGGTAACACACACACACAAGCGACGCTCGCTTCCCTTGTGTGCGTTGCTTTTGAGCTCTTCGCCGGTGTACCTGGGTCATGTAATGTAACCAATCAGCTTGGCTTGACCTCACATGCCAAGCGGCGTCCCCTTGTTGGTCCACGTTGTGACATGATTTTTGGGTGATGTGTTACGAGGAAATATGGGGGTTGTGCTGAAAGTACAGGGACCCCAGAAAGTTGGCCGGCCTTGTTTGGCTTCCCTTTACAACCCGCAGGGCGCCTCTGTGGGGGTTCCCCTCAGGAAAGGACACCCGATCTTGGTGCTAAAGGGAAACCGAAGGCAAACGGGTCCCTAATCATGAGACTCCCCATGATTCTCCTTCAGTTGCATTTTAGCACCGCCTCTTGCTACTTGAACATGAGCACTTCAAGGAGATCTTCCCTTCAGCAGGGTGATGTTTGACGGGGGAGATTAAGACAATGGCTGAAGAGGGCATCCCATGCCGTGCCCAATGGGGCCAGAGAGGCAATGCTTCCAGCTGTTGGCGGACATGGACCGCCTTGAAGTGGCTCCCAACTTCCGGAGCCTCTTGCCATCTTTGGCGCTCGTTTTGGCTGGGCCCTGGTGAGCCGGTGGGTGAAAAAATGGTTGGAAGGGCCCAGAAGTGGGAGGGTCATGCCCCCAGGCCTGCATTGGGGGAGGGGAAGAGTTCTCAGGGTTGCTTCCGTTTCTTTTCTGCCACCAAAGTTGCCAGGACCAAAGGGCCGTGTTGGAAAGCATTGCAAACATCGCCATTTTAGGACTCGCTCTCTTATGGGTCCACCGGTGACGTTTAGCCTTTAGCCGGATATGAAAAGGGGCTCCCGGTGCCCTGCTCCCCCTCCAGAAGTGATGAACCCCCACTAGAAAATCCAGAAGGGGTTCTGCTTAAGTAGATCCACGGTTCGTATTACAGCCTAAGCCAAGCAGACCTTGCCACAACTCATATTGTGCCCGTTACTTGAGTGGTTTCAATGCCCCCAAATTTGGTTGATGGGCGTTTACCCCACATAAACTAATGTTGATCGCGCCAACAAGGTCCTCATAAAATTCGCTCACGAGCTACGGGCTGACCAGGAAACCCTCAATCCTTGTGTTTGGTTATGACCGCATGTGGTCCCCTTGTTTCCATTTTAGACGGATCGGATTTTCAATCAAGCAGTCAACCTGGCAAAGACCTACACGCATTCTCGGGGATTGGCAAAAGCTGGAGGATCCTGTCCTCAAGAATAAACAAACATGCATAAAAGTACTGCAAATAACAGGTCAAACACACACATTATAGGACTTGGCTTGTGTCTTTTTTCTGCCAATGAACGTTGTTGTGTTGCCCTCCCCACCCCCCACACCCCCGCCCCCCCCTCCCCCCCGTTCATTGAGACCTTTCGGGGGACCCCGCATTTTGTGAGTTCTCTGTGGGCCCTCCTGCAGCCCATTCGAAGACCAAGCGGTGCCAAGGCTTTCTGGAAGTCAGCCAGGCCTGTGAGAGGCGTGGGCAGGGGTTCTTTTGCCTGGACGAATGATTTGGTTAGATGAAGGGTGAGCTAAGCCTGCGAACTAAGGGTTAGGAGAAGCAAGAAGTAAAATGATGAAACAAGAAGTGAATTCAATCCCGGGTGTTGGGCTCAGATGTCCGGCAGCTATTTTGGGGGCGGTCTACACAGAGACGGAAACCACCCGGACCCACCTAAAAAAGGGCCTATTGCAACCGAAATTATGGCTGGTGACTTCCCAATTGTAAGGTGAGTTTCAGGGTCCAGGTATGTTTTTGGGTATGCCGCTATGCCGTGTTGGGTGTTTTTCAAATGGAAACCAAAGGACACACCACAACCCGTTGGCGGGTCCCCAATTGCCAGACACCCGCCCATCACGCAATGCAGACGCACAGTCACAAATTATCCAGCTCACCTTCAGATGTAACCCACCTAGGTTTGTCCACGTTCAGTCAACATGCACCGGTCGGTGAAGACAACCTCCAATGTCAAACAGTCATCGTCACAATGACCTTGGGCAGATGTTCTAAGTTTGCATGTTACTAAACAGCATCAAGTGGCAAAGGCCGAAACAATATTCCATTCTCTGCTAGCTGTGGGAAATTGGAAGGGAGCCGAAGTAGAAGGAAACCAAGAGGAAAGGAGATTCCTGAACACCGGCAAACTTTTCAAAAGGAAGCAGGAAACCAACAGGAAAGCCAGGAAACCGGACAGCCCATCCATTTTGGGGGTTTGTACCAAAAGGCTTCCCCCCGCAAATGGACTTAAACCCATGGCCATGTTCTCCTAAAAGCAAACTTCTGGCTTTATTTTCCCATGGGAACTTGGATGTTCAACCCACCTAGCTTATATCCATGGTTCTGAGGGAACCAACCCCAGCTACCCTTCTCATACGCTCATAGCCATGGTGCCCCAAGTGGGTCGGACATCCAGCCGAAGACACGAAGCCAGCCCTTCGCCAGGACTGGGCGCTGGCAAGAGGCCCTGGCGTGCCAGCAGCGAGTTCTGCAGTGCCTCCAGCGGGACGAGGAGAGCACGTTGCGCGGTCGAGCGACTTGGTAAGGGAACACCTGAGGTTGTGGGAATGGATCCAAGGATTCTTTTTGAAAGAAAGAGCAACACTTGTTTCACTTTGAGTTGGAATTACACTCACCGCGCCAACTTGACCACTTGCACACAAAAAAGTTTGACACCAACGGCGTAGTCACGATCGTGGCATGTCAATGAATCAAGTTAGCCACCCTGAGCTGCCAGTGATAGGCAGGGCGACAGGTTTCGTTCTGCTTTGCTTGGTGAAACGAGGGAGGGGGGTTTGCTTTTAAGGCTTTGGTCTGACTCACCTTGCGCTGATTGGTTTGGATTGTTTGCTTGGGATTGACAGGAACTCCTCACCTTCAATTTTCCTCGCCAGATTTTGGGCATACCGCCCTTCGTCCATGAGGAATTCCTTTCGTTGCCGGAACAAGCTGCTCAGCGCGTTTGCCCTTTTGCCTCCTGAACGGTTTTGCAGGGACTGAATTTCCTGTTTCTGGGCTCCCCTCTGAGAAGCTCGCACCCCTGCCTTGCCGCCTGCAAGCTGCTTTGAATCAGAGAGATCCAAAAAAAAACGACCCCAAATTGGGCAACTTCAGCTGGGCCACGTTTAACCCCTACAGATGGGCGAAGGCGACTCGCGACTCTCCGCTTTTTGGGTTTTTGGAGGACCCGGAGCACTTCAAGCGGGCGCTGGTGATGGGCCTGGGCTGGCGTGAGGCATTGGAGGCGATGGACCCCGAGCGTGCGGCCCGGGCCTCAGCCGAGTGCTGGGGTTTCATTTCTTGGGAGAATATGGCTGTGGCTCAAAGTCAAAGAGCTAGGGTTACGCAGGTTTTAGTCTTTGGTTCCATTTACCAAGGTGTCATATTGGTACATATTTGAGCCACAGCCATATGGCTGTGGCTCAAACATTCTGTGGACGAAATCCACTTCGCACCACCGAAGAAGCCTGGAATGATGATTCCCCTGTAAATACCAACGAACAATGGTTTCGCATGGTTTCAAAGTGGTGCAGGCTATTGTCCATCGACAGTAGGTATCCAAAATGGAACTCTGGTAAATGGAACCAGGAACCAACACCTGCGGTCCCCTGGTGGTTTAATTTTGACCCGTGCCCATATCGGTTATTTTCACGAAGTCTCGTTTTAAGAATTCGGTTGGTTTTAAAGTTGGAATCTATCACGACTAGATTTATTTTATTGTTTTCCCAGGGACTCAAGCAAATGGATGGTTTTGCGGTTTCGTTTGATGAGCGAAAGTGGTGCGAAATGGGATGGAGCCCCCATGGGTTGACTTGCAAAAGGGCTGAACCCGTCCAAGGGCTTCGGTGGTTGCGTCTCTTTTGAGGGGTTTGCGGTTTGTGCTAACCACCCTCAAAGGGTGCAGGCACCTTTAACGAACACAAGCAACAATATCTAGATGTGCTTATTTCCAGCCATGAAGCCATGAAGCAAAACATTTGTTGGACCAAGCTGAGGTGAGAGTCGTATTGGTGCTGTAGGGAGAAATTCAGCGAACCCTGTCCGAGAGTTTGCTTCGGGCAATGTCAAGGTCTTCCGTTGCTTGCTTGGAACATGTTATTGTCCTCTCCTGAGAACCTAGGTTAAGGCAACAAGCAACGTTGATCATCATGTTCTTGCAGGAAACCACCCTTGTGAGACACACCCAAGTATGCACCAAGTACTCCCTGGCGAAACCTGGCCCCAAAACCCCGTAGAATTCTTGGGGAAGCTCCTCTTGACGACCCAAATCCTCTCGTCGAGTTCCTTCCGAGACGTGATGCGACTGGCTTCGCTGAGGATCTGGAGACCTGGGATCTCTTGATGACCTCCTGCCGCCGGTCCCTGCCACTCGTAGCGTTGACCCACAGCACGGCACCTCTGAAAACGCGCGGGGAACGATTTGACACACCGAAGAGTTTTTATAGGCTTCATGTTTTTTTTGGGCATTTTCCAGCTCCCTCAACGTTTTCTTCCCTCTCCGACGAGCAGTCGTTGACACGTTTGACCAATTTGTCTGCCACCAAGCATGCCCTGCTGGGCACTTGCCCCCCCCATTTCTTCCAAAAAAAAAACAACAAGAAAAGAAGAAGAACAAGAAGAAGAAGAAGAAGAAGAAGAAGAAGAAGAAGAAGAAGAAGCGTTTATTTTTATTTTTTGGGTTAAAACCACAAGACACCCATTTGCTGCTGGGAGGGTAGATTAATATCAAACATTGCAACTGTCCACAGCGGTTCAGTTCTGTCAACCCAGTGTCCTTTCCCATTTGAAAGAGAAACACACACACACACAGTACCTTTCATCCTTCCTTAGGCGACATTTCCTGAAGATGGGTCACGCTACCAGGGTCACATCACCCCATCCTCCCAACGACATCTTGAACCAACCTGTGAGGGATAAGGCTGGCGGCCGGCAAACACTCAGGCACTCCAATCTCATTCGAGATCAAATCAGAACTTTAACCAAAGGTCCAGTTGGACTTCACCTGAATCCAACCATTTCAACCCCGTCCTGTGGGTGTGGCTCAAAATCAAAGAGCCAGGGTTACGGTTTTGGTTTTTAGTTCCATTCTGTAAACCAAAACCATTGGTACCATTTGGGGGGTAGGTGCACCACCCATTTTCGAACCTATTTTCGTGGGGATTGAATCGGAATCGGATGTTCACTGGTACGATTTGCTCTTTCTGCCCGAGGCAGTGGCAGGCGGTGCTGGATCTCTTCCAGGGCCTTCAAGAGCAGCAGCTGAAGCCCAGCGGGACATCCACTCGACTCGACTCGACGCGATTGGTTCGCCAGATGTTCGGGAAAACACGGCAGCCCGGGTAAGTGGGTATTTCTTAAGAAGTGACCCTGGTTAGTAGGCCCTGGCACCCCGTATGGCTGTTTTGTTTTCTTGGTCAAACTCCCGTATTTTGCCGTATTTGCCCGTATGGCCATCTTTTTCGGGCACTTGCGTACATCCTGTATGAAACCCGTATTGTTTCAACATGTTGCAGAAGCAAAGCTGCAAACTTCCGTATGGCATTTCTTTTTCGGTCACAGGGGGCGCATGGCCCCCCAAAAAGAAACAACGACCATATGGCTGTGAGTCAAACATATGTACCCAAAAAGGAACCCTGGTAGATGGAAACATGGACTGAGATCTGCGGTCTGGGGCTTTAAGTTTTCGACAATTTTGACGCATGCCCATCTGGGGTTTTTAGGGGGCCACACTCCGAACGCCGGAGCTCCTTGGAGGACCAGCTTCCGCGCCATCATCGACTCCGCGGTGTCCTGGAGCGGCTCAGGCGAGTGACGGGTCGGACGGGTTCAGAGCCTGGTTTCTTTCCCCCCAAAGCCTTGAGCACGCTCGCCGCGGTCAAAGTTAGGCGAGTTCTTATATGGACTCAACAATTGGAAAGAAGTTTCAATAGAAATGACTGAAATCCCCGTTTGGGGCTGAATGTTGATCAAGTCACAACCCCCCTGCTTGTTCTTTGGGCACCAAGAAGCAATAACATGGCCGTTGACAACACCAGAAAAGCGCAAGAACTCAAAGGTCAATTATGGAAACTCATGCGCGCATTAGCTGATATGAACTGGTTGGGGGTTGGAGAAGCAGGGCCCCCAGCACCTTTTGGCTTCACATCCAAACGGAAGCACGAAACCAAGCTTTTTCAGGCGTGCCAGAGTTTGGGCGTTTGGATGATTTCCTTGGAAAGTCACAAGGGAGGCAACCATACCCCGTGCCTGGCAAGAGTTTTGGTCCGGCGCTTTCTTCATAGCTCCAATTTCCAAGCCCCCTGTAGCACCCTGCTTTTTCTCAAAGGGTCTTGTTTCGGTTTGGCAGGCCGTATGGGTCTTCCGTTTTGAGGTTCAACAGGAAGCCACCTGGGTTTTGTCGGGAGGGTTCCGGAATTCCCGGATGAGACCAACATGTGTGCCACAAGCCTATCGGTTTGGGATGCCGCCAGGCGGCATCATTTGCAAGGGCCGCCAGAACGTCGCCCGGAACGCCCAGAGCACGCCAGGCGCAGCAAAGCTGATTTAGGGCCCTTCTCACGGCCCACCCAAGACCCCGGCTGAAGGCGACTTTCTGTGACGCCTTGGAAACAACAAAAAGTGACGGAGTTGTCCCAGGCGTAGCTCTAGGTGAGGAAAGGTCACCCATGTCAACGTTCGTTCGGTGCTACCCAATATCTTTGCCCCTAGCATGATGATGCCAGAAGAGGCTTGAACGGAAATTGAATTCCTGCACGCATCCATGTGATGTGGGTGTGAAACTCTTCGCTTGCACACAGTAAATCTCCGGTAAGTCAGTTGCTGGAGCCTGATAATATCTGAGAATCAGCGAGAGAGTCAGGCAGATACGGGTTTTTTCGGGTCTTTTGAGGTCTCTGCATAAGGGTCTGCGCATTCACTGTGACTTTGAGGCTGTAAGTAAGCTGTACTTTTCCCAAGCTTTCCAGACTCCTGCTTTTTGTTGCCAAAGGCTCTGGTTTGTGTGGAGGACAAGATCGTTGTGGGTAAACAATTCTACTAACTTGCTGCTTGAGCATGCAAAGTCCTCGCAGTTCACACTGGAAAATCACCAAACTTCGGGAACATGAAAAAGACCGGGCAACCCCACCCCCCACCCAGCCCCTCACCTACTCCTCCCCCCCCACGGTTTTGGTTGGTTAAACAGTTCAATCTCAAGCCGCATTGCCTTCGAAGGCGGATTCAAATGACGTGAATCACCTCCCAAAGAACGGGACCGAGACCCACCATTAAGGCAGTGTTGGGTCTTATTTGGCCTTGAAAAAGACTTATTCAACCCTTGTGCCGTCAAAGTTGCCCATCCCCAGTCGGTTAGATTCAGTTGGACGGATGAGGCAGGCCCGATCCCCATGTAGCATCGTGTGACCGACAAGTAAGCAAGAAATGGATGCACTATCTCAAGTTATTAAATTCGTGGCTGCTTATTTTCCATGGGCCTTCGGCAGCCATGCAGGTGGATGTTCAGTTGCCCAGCGGGAGCGGTTTCTCCCTGGTTTCTGCGCCGGAGTCGCGTGTGAGCGAGCTGAAGGCTGCGGCGCAGCGGCACTTCCGGCGGGGCTTCTTGAGACTTGGCGCGAGAGGCCGGCAGTTGGACCCCGCGGCCAGCTTGAGCGAAGCGGGACTGCGAGACGGGGACTGCGTGAATGCGGTCGCGCAGCGAGTGGAGCTTTCGGGCGCAGCAGAGGCCTTCGCAGTCTATGTCAGAGGAGGAGGTGTGGTCACCTGGGGTGATCGGAATTTGGGGGGTGACAGCAGCCAGGTGCAAAGTCAGCTGGTGGAAGTTCAACAGATCCAGTCGAATGACGGTGCTTTCGCAGCCATCCGGGCCGACGGTGTGGTGATCACCTGGGGTCATCCGGAATATGGTGGCGACAGCAGCCGGGTGCAGGGCCAGCTCGCACGTGTGCAGCAGGTCCAAGCAACCCGGGCTGCATTCGCGGCCGTGCGGGAGGATGGCACCGTGGTAACCTGGGGCGATGCAGCCTATGGCGCGGACAGTAGTCAGGTCCAAACGCTGCTGACTCGGGTCCAACTGATTCAAGCCACGGACCGTGCTTTTGCTGCCATCCTGGAGGGTGGCAGAGTGGTAGCTTGGGGTGATCCAGACTACGGTGCACAGAGCCGCCGAGTGCAGGAACAGCTTGTGCATGTTCAGCATGTGCAAGCGACCAGCTGTGCTTTTGCTGCGATCAAGTCGGATGGCACGGTGGTGACGTGGGGCCATCCATTTTTTGGCCAGGCCAGCGGCCAGGTCAGCGGGCAGCTCGCGCAAGTTCAGCAGATCCAAGCCACTGACCGTGCCTTTGCCGCCATCCGGCAAGATGGCAGCGTAGTGACCTGGGGCGATGCACATGCCGGCGGCGACAGCAGCCAGGTGGAGCTGACGGGCGCCCATCAGATCCAAGCGACACACGCTGCCTTCGCTGCGCTCCGCAGGGATGGCACGGTTGTGACTTGGGGTTCTCCAAGTTATGGCGGGGACAGCCGCCAGGTGCAGGGGCAGCTGGTGCGGGTTCGGCAGGTCCAAGCGACCAGGGCTGCATTTGCGGCCATCCGGGATGATGGCACTGTGGTGACCTGGGGCGATCCAGATCGTGGCGGCGATAGCAGCCTTGTGCAGAAGCAGCTGACGGGGATCAAGGAGATCCAAGCCACAAATGCGGCTTTTGCCGCTGTGTCTGCTGATGGCATGGTGGTGACTTGGGGCCGACCAGACTTTGGTGGCAACTGCCCTGTGCGTGAGCAGCTGACAAGAACCCAGCTGATCCAAGCGACAGAACGTGCGTTTGCCGCCGTGCTGGACAATGGCTCGGTGGTTTCATGGGGGGATCCAGGCTATGGCGGCGACTGTAGCGAGGTGTATCACCAGCTTGACTTCTTGTAGCTTTGTTCTGCGACTGGAGGGCCCTCGGTTGAGCTGCACTTTGTTGTACATAGTTCAGCAAGAAGGATCCAATCAAGAGATAGAGAGAGAGAGAGCACCCTTTAGACCTGCCCGTGACCGTAGCAACGGAGACCGCATGAGAACCGACTAAATTTGTGTTGGCCAGAGTGATGCAACAAATGTGCAGGTCATTCAACAAAAGACCCGTCGTTCAACAGATGCCCAGCAGAAATTGGAACAGCCTCGTGTGGGTGTCTCCTCGCAAAATGTGCCCCAATGATATCCAATCCGCTGGGAAGGCAGAAAAGAATAAAGCAGGTGCTTCGAATGAGATGCGGCTTCAAGTGTGTCTTTTCCAACTGATGTCACTTTGAAACTTTGAGTAACACGCAGGCATCTCTCTGGAAACAAACTGCTTCCTTGGTGACCCGGGGGTTTCCAAGCGAACGGCGCTCTGTATATAGACAATGAACTAATTACATACCATGCATATGCAGTTCCTGGTAAGTGTCTACAACTCCGTCCATTTGTAGAACATGCACGAGCTATGCTGATAACTGCGTATATGTCTACAATATACAACCTATACAGCTGTGTTTTATCGTGTGCACACACATGTCCCATAGAACGCATACTACCTGCGCACCACCTGCGTAAATGTTCTACCAGCTATGTGCACATTTATTCTGTCATGGCAGACTGGGTCCCGCAGTTAATATTTTTTTGCTCTTCCAACTTGTTCTTTGTTTGGATGCACTACATATAGCGATACTATGCATGTAGAATTAGGTACACCATGTATACCCCTATCTAAACAACTTTTCATTTGTTTGTATACATACACATATGTATACGAATTGGGTACATGAATGCACGTTATATATACACATAAACTTGAGACAATACTGTGTAACACGTACTACAGTGTATATATGTATGTCCCTACTGCCCATCTATGAAACTATCCATCTATCCATCTATCTGTTATTTCTTTCTATCTATCTAGATATCCGCCCATATATATTTTCAATCTAAACCGAATCTAATCTATTTATCTATCTATCTATCTATCTATCTATCTAACGTATCTATGTCTATCTAAACTTTCTATGTCTATATCTAATAATCCAATCTAGTCTAATGTAATCTAGTCTACCAAGTCTAATCGATCTATCTATTTATGTATCTATCTATCTATCTATCTAATCTAATGTAATCTAATGTAATCTAATGTAATCTAATTCAATCCAATCTAATCTAATCTAATCCGATCTAATCAAATCTATCTTTCGATCTATCGATCTTTCGATCTTTGATCTATCTATCTATCTATCTATCTATCTATCTATCTATCTATCTAATCTATCTATCTATCTATCTATCTGTCTGTCTAATCTATCTATCTATCTATCTATCTATCTTATCTTATCTTATCTTATCTTATCTTATCTTATCTTATCTTATCTTATCTATCTATCTAGTCTATCTATCTATCTATCCATCTAATCTATCTAATCTATCTATCTATCTATCTATCTATCTATCTGTCTGTCTGTCTGTCTATCTATCTTATCTTATCTTATCTTATCTTATCTTATCTTATCTTATCTTATCTTATCTTATCTTATCTTATCTTATCTTATCTATCTATCTATCTATCTATCTATCTATCTATCTATCTAATCTAGCTAATCTATCTATCTATCTGTCTGTCTGTCTGTCTATCTATCTATCTATCTATCTGTCTGTCTATCTATCTATCTATCTATCTATCGATCTTATCGATCTATCTATCTATCTATCTATCTATCTATCTATCTATCTATCTATCTATCTATCTATCTTATCTATATATCGATCTATCTATCTATCTATCTATCTATCTATCTATCTATCTATCTATCTATCTATCTATCTATCTATCTATCTAATCTATCTAGTCTATCTAACTATCTATCTATCTATCTATCTATCTATCTGTCTATCTATCTATCTAATCTAATCTAATCTAATCTAATCTAATCTAATCTAATCTAATCTAATCTATCTATCTATCTATCTATCTATTTATCTATCTATCTAATCTATCTATCTATCTATCTATCTATCTATCTATCTATCTATCTATCTATCTATCTATCTATCTATCTATCTATCTATCTTATCGATCTATCTATCTATCTATCTATCTATCTATCTATCTATCTATCGGTCTATACAACTATTTATCTATCTATCTGTCGATATCGATCTATCGATATAGATCTATCGACCTATCGGTCTATCGTTCTATCGGTCTATCGACATCGATCTATCGATTTATTTGTCTATCTAAATCCAATCTGATCTACCCTAGTCTCATCGCAACTTATCTTATCTTATCTGTCTATCCTATCTATCCTATCTATCCGATCTATCCGATCTATCCTATCTATAGTATGTCCGGATCCCTTATCTTTCTATGTATCTAATCTATGTTAGTTTAGTCTAGTTGAGCCAAATCTATCTGTTTGTTTGTTATGTATTTACATGAGTCATTTACTGTGTGCCACATCTATGTGTTGTGACTTCTTCGCCGGCCGTACCAGGCGCTCCGGAGCAGCCGGGGGTCTCAGCCTAGGGCGGGTCCCTTGAGCGGGCGATTTTGGGGTGCACCCCAAGAAATAACCCGAAGGAATCCCGAAGCTCCTGCGCGCAGGGATTTTTCATGACAGATTGGATGGTTGATAAGCCACGGGTGCAAAGTGCCCCCAGTGCATTTTGGGCTTTTCTCAAACAGAGCCCTCAAATGTGTTGGGTGTCCTTTTGGTCTTCCTTTAAAACCAAAACCAGACGCCAGGTCGTTTTTCTGTCAGGAATTACGTTTCTTGGGCCCGACGGGATTGTCTGTAAACAAAGGGGTCTGGGACTGGCCCTGACAGGTGGATGAGGCTTGGATTGGAAGGTAACCTTCATCGGACAAATGGATTTGCAAAGCCACGCCTTTGGAGTATGGTCCTGTTTATGCGAAACGCACATACCCGAAACGGATTCTGATTCTGGCTTCGTTTTGGGATGCCCAGCTGGTTCCGAAAAGGGACTGGTTTTGGGCGGTCAGGAGATTGTGAGGAAGATTACCTCGCCCCGTCATTTAGATTACGAGCAGTGTGTTTTCGTTGGTGTGACTTTCATCACAACATTGAAGATCATGTTCAGGATGTGACATTTGGAACCCAAATAAGCTTGATCTTCAACATTGTTTCCAGACAAGCCTGCGCTACTCCATGGCCCGCGTTGATCGGAGCGTTACGTCAACACATGCGAAATTCGCGTTGCAGGCTGGAGGTTTGGCCTCTGTGCCGTTTTGCCACTCTCGCGAGGCAAAGTTTTCGTCTGCCCGGGACCTTCACGGGTTTCCACACAGGCGAGGTCCGCTCGGGGCGTCCGGGCCGACAAGGGGCCCCTGAAACCCGGGAAGATGGATTCGGTGGAGGGGATATTTCGCCGGAGAAGGGAAACATTCCCCGACGTTGGTGCTTTGCACGCTTCCCAATTTTGAGAAGGAGGCTCAAGGGGAAACATGCGGGAAGTATCCAGAGAGAAGTAAAGTATGCATGCAGGTTTTCAGCTTGAGCCCACCAGAGCCCCATGAAGGCAATCGGAGCTACAGTTCCTGCAGCAATTTGGTGAACGAACCTAGCCTCAAAGGCCTGCTATTCTTCATACCCCTCTCTTCTTAGGGCAGAGGGGGTGTATACACCCCGCAATTCAGTGGGCTGGCAATTAACCGGAGCACCTGGGGGTATGAACAAGAAATATGCGGGATTTGAATGGTGGCTACAGCGGAGCACACGTTCTACTGGGTGCTAAATCAGATCCCGTGCAGTTGCCCCGGGAAGCCGTATGTTGTCCGGAGCCCTCCGTTTAGTCAGCTGAGATTTGTTCCAGCCTCTGGTTTTGATCCTTCAAGTTATGTTGCTTTTGCCTGATATGAGCAAGTGACAATTCCATTACCCCCCCCCCACCCCCCCCCCCCACCCACCCACCCACCCACCCACCCACCCACCCACCCACCCACCCACCCACCCACCCACCCACCCACCCACCCACCCACCCACCCACCCACCCACCCACCCACCCACCCACCCACCCACCCACCCACCCACCCACCCACCCACCCACCCACCCACCCACCCACCCACCCACCCACCCACCCACCCACCCGAAACGAGACTCTGGAGTAAATTGCTTGGCGGTGAATCGAGACTCTGGTTTCTTGTTTAATAACATTTCTTAACACAAGTCTTCACCGTAGGCGAGGCTCCAACATTGACCGATTACCAACTACAGACGAAGAAGAGAAATCACTGGGTCAAGATGACTGGCAATATCTTACATTGTTTCTCTGCACCAAAAAAGATGGCCAGGCCAACATGTCACCCAGTGGCGAGAGACGCCTGCAGTTGGCGGCTACAAGTCTCAGCACCGCCTGGGGCTCAGCTATGGACAGGACTTGGGGGTTATTCGTGGCGCTGGGGAGTGCCGCTGGCACAAACAAATATATAAGCACATAGCTTGGCCGAGGAGCGGGCCCTGGCGAGCCAGCTATGGAATCATGTCTTGCTTCTTTTGGCTTGGAGCAGTGACGGTTCCATGAACATATATATATATGTGTGTATATACATATTGTTGGTGCCATGGGAAACCAAAGATAGCCCCAATTCACCTATGTGTGGTAGAATTTGTACGGGATCTCCGGCTTCCACTGCGCTCACTGGACAAAAAAGGCAAGATCCTCATATCCTCTGATTCCTTTGTGACCTGAGGACCGAAGCCTCCGCTCTGCACAATGTGGCGGTGGGTAAGTGACGCGCACGCGCCTTTGCCAATGCTTCACAGGGCTCACCCTTTGCGGCATCATGATCTGCCACTACCACTTACGGTTGCGCAACCAATTTGCAAAACCTACGCCGGTTGCACTTTCCTTTCAGAGGCAAGCATGAAGTAAGGAATGCTATGAGAGTGCTGAAGGCTTACGGCTAAAAGGCGTCCGGCTAAAGCACGTAAGCCAGAAGTATAGGGCTTCATCAGAGCAAGGGTTTGGGGGTTGAATATGAAAAAGCACTCCTGTCCCAGCATGCAAGGGTAAGCCCTGCTTCAGTTTTTTAGTTGCAGAATTTTAGTGGCGTTGCCACGTAATTAATCAGAAGGCGCCGTGTCAATGGCCTGGAGAGGAGAAGGAAAAAGTCGAGCTTTTACAGAAAAGCCGAACTTTCCGACACGCATAAATCAAGGAGTTATTTATTTTGGCTCTTGGCCCCTTGTCCACTCGAGTCACGCTTTTCCGCCCAGCTCAAGTTTATCCTTGATATGAGTCAACCTCAAAGTTATCAACAATTGCGTATGCAAGGTGCTGTTTTTGCGTTCCGGGGACGTCCTGAACCAACTCACTTGTTTGCTCATGTCGGCGGCTTTTGCTTAAAAGCGGATTGTGACAACCTGTGCCCGAACCATCACACGCGGGGATTTGAGTCAAACTGGCAACCCTGGCGGCAGCCCTGCAGCATCCAAGCTGTACTAAGCGCATCTAAGCGCCACATCAAGGCATCCACATCGCGGTGCCAGGAATTTCCATGGGGTTCGCTCAGTCTATATAGTCTCTGCTTTGCTGGGCCCACGCGTGGAGGCTGCGGAGGGGAGGTGTCGCCGGTGCAAACCCGTTCAAGTCTGACCAACAGCGCTTGCCGGCATTGCTTGTGCATTTTAATCAACAACGCCCAAAGGCTGTGTTTGGATTTATCAAGGTTGCTCAACGCGAGGCCTGCCGTCCGCGGGGCCCGCCGGGGTGAAGCAAAAGGTTAAGGGGCAGGCCAAACGTGCAATTCCGATGATGTAAGACCCTGTTTATGCAGAAAGGTCTAAACAAGGGCTCACGCTGACACTGCAAAACTGCATGTCCAAATATCTTGGCACCATGCATGTGCGAAAGCAAAGCTTTGTGCAACGCTTGACCAGTTGTGGCTTAAATTGCAAAGCTCATGAAATGTACAAATTGGAGGCCCGTGTGACATAACTTCCAGGAACATCAGCCAACGCAGTCGCGCTTGCAGTTCTCACCGTTCTTGCCATACACCCACCCACCCACCCACCCACCCACCTACCCACCCACCCACCCACCCACCCACCCACCCACCCACCCACCCACCCACCCACCCACCCACACACACCCACCCACCCACCCACCCCACCCACCCACCCACCCACCCACCCACCCACCCACCCACCCACCCACCCACCCACCCACCACCACCCACCACCCCACACCCACCCACCACCCACCACACCCACCACCCACCCACCCACCCCACCCCACCCCACCCCACCCACACCCCACCCCACCCACCCCAACCCCACCCCACCCCACCCCACCCCACCCCACCCCACCCCACCCCACCCCACCCCACCCCACCCCACCCCACCCCACCCCACCCCACCCCACCCCACCCCACCCCACCCACCCCACCCCCACCCCCACCCCACCCCACCCCACCCCACCCCACCCCACCCCAACCGCACGGGCAAGGCCCTGAAAAAAAGGCCTTGAACAGCCTTGCGGAGCCCTTCAAAATTGCTAGTAGCCCGGGAGACTAGCTCTTCTTGAGGGGGAATCGAGTTAGAGCTGCCAGTGGCTCACATGGGGTTCTCCTGTTCGGGCTGGTTTTCGTTGGGGCACGCCCGAAACCCTTCCGTTTCATATAGGTCCCTGCCATCTTTTTGACAACGCCGCGTTTGTGCACCAAAGGTGCGCGTGAGTTCCCTTGAGAAGACCTGTGGATAGTTTGCCGTCAAGACAAGATCTTGGCCAGAACATCAAAGCCCAAATTGAGGCTATACTCTGATTTTCCAGGCTTACCTAAGTTGGCAAGTGAATTCGCACCTACTTAACCCTCAAACCGAGCTTAGTAGGGATTTGTCAATCAACATGGGGAGCCATGCTACCGTCGATGCGTCTTGGGCGCGTTCTCCGCTAGGTCCCAGCACTGTGGCGACCGACAAGGCCCATCAGGCGCTCGCTCGGGGCTGCATGGGTTTGGGAGAAGGGGGGCCACCTGTTAGACGGGGTGGGTTTCGTTTGGTTTTGCTTCACAGCAACCTGCGGCAAACCTGGCATTTAGCGAACCGTTTCCCAACCGATTCAGAAGCACCTGGCCTCCGTTGACATGTCTTCCGAAAATTCTGGCCGTAGCCTGAAGGCAGCCTTCTTGCCAGCGGCTGAATGACCTTCCTATCTTTGTTCCGGGGTTGGGTTCAAAGCACACATGGTGGAAATCATTCCAGGAGTGCAAGGGGATGGTGCAGGACATAGGGCAAGTGAGACTTGCAGGAGCGTCAGATCCTGGGGTGGCTCCTCTTCGAGCGCCGGCACTTGCCCAAAGAGGCGGGTCTCAAGCGCTTGTTTGGTCGGTCGGAGGGCATTGCTAGTCAAGACGTGCTACGTGCACCAGACTGACCTGGGTGAACTGTTTATGTCAACCAGCTATGCAATGGAAGTCGGCGAGTGGTTCACTTCCCAGCTGACATCAGTTTGGATGAGCATGGTTGGGTGCTGCGGCATCATATGGCTGTGGGTCCAAAATATGTAATTACCCAAAATGGAATTCTGGCAAATGGAAACTTGGACAACCTGCGGTTCCCTGGGTTGGCCGACTGGTTCTGCCCCCCACCCCCGCGCCGTAGGCAGAGCGTGAGAGGCTGCTGGCTCGTCGGAGTACCAGGCGCCAGGTGGGGGGAAAGGCGCTTTGAGGTTTTGCTACACCCCATGGAAGAGACCCCCCAGAATGTCTGGGAAGGTAAATGCCGCCAAAAACGTCAGAGGTTTCGGTTGGAACCACCTCCGAAAATTGAGCGCATGCTAATGTAGCCAGTAGCGACACATATTCCACCCAGATCGAGTCATGTAGTAGCTTTTCCAGGGTGAGCGTAGGTCCGCAAGTCCCTACCGCACAACTCCCTGTGAAAGAGCTTGCAAGGTGTGCATCGTCATGGAATGCCAAGCCTAGTCTCCCAGGCCGCAACTTTTCTTATACTTCCCGAGACCCTTCTTAAACAGGAAGACCGTAGTGAGGGCTAGTTCCCCCAAGGTCTGGCAAAGCGGGACGCAGGGAGGCCTGGTATTCCAGAACTGTGAAAAGTTTTTTCTCGAACACATGGTGGTGCGCTTTGCAGGTTGTCAATGAGCCCATTGTTTGATCCCTCAGCTTGGGGGTTGCGAATACACAAACCTGTGCTATTGTATCTTGCTGGTGCTTGGCTGTGACGAACACCATCTTCGGTGACTGAATCTTTGATGTCGTGAAACTTGGCGCTGACCTGAGTATACTACGCAAAATATGGGACTTGCAATGACTCCCACTTGGGTGTATGCCATCACCAGTGGCACCCCCCTAAATTGCCAGATGTAAACGTAAAAAGCAGAAAGCCAAACGAAGCCCTGGGTTTGACACATTTCAAGGAGATCAGCATGGAACATCGCCATGAACCCGGCCACTCAAGGGTTGCCAAGAGGGCACTCCCATGCAATGGAAAGCCACCTGATACGTGCGACAACAAGTTGACGACATCTGGGATGCAGCTGGTGACTACTTGGGCCAATGGGAGCGCCAACAAAAAGGCGCTAGAAAGCTCAGAAGTGCTACAAAACTCAATCAAAGGACTCCCTCTCCACATAGGGGGCTCAATTCATCCCCCATGTTTGAGTTTTGCTTTTTGCTTTTGGCCACTTTCCGGGCGGGGCGGCTGGGCAACCACCAAGAATCAATCCCGTTCAAGTATGCCATCTTTGCTCAGGCGCCCCTCTGAGATGCAGTGAGCCCCCGCAGGTGCCAGATTGAAGTGGGAATGTGTGTCTTGAGTCCACCCATTTTTGGGGGTGGCTTAAGGGGAGACGAAAAAGAGAACCACTTTTGGGGTTTCCCCTGTTTTGACACAAACCCAAATGGGCTTTTAAATCCTTCTGGACGAAACTTGCAGCAGGCAAGGGTTCACCTCATTGAGATAAACCACCTACCAGCTGGTCCCAGCATATGTCTGTGTGTTTGTGTGTCTGTATGTCTGTGTGTCTGTGTGTGTGTCTGTGTGTTTGTGTGTCTTTGTGTCTGTGTGTCTGTGTGTCTGTGTGCCTGTGTGTCTGTGTGTCTGTGTCTGTCTGTCTGTCTGTCTGTGTCTGTCTGTCTGTCTGTCCGTCTGTTTGTCTGTGTCTGTCTGTCTGTCTGTCTGTCTGTGTCTGTCTGTCTGTCTGTCTGTCTGTCTGTCTGTCTGTCTGTCTGTCTGTCTGTCTGTCTGTCTGTCTGTCTGTCTGTCTGTCTGTCTGTCTGTCTGTCTGTCTGTCTGTCTGTCTGTCTGTCTGTCTGTCTGTCTGTGTGAAAGTGTGTGTGTGTGTGTTGTTTTTTGAGTTGCTACCCTTTCAGCTTGGTTTAATGGGAACCAACTAGGAAACCAACCATGCTGTTGGATCCGAATCCCTACCTGACACACTGTTTCGGCTATGAGCTGGCTTGTGTAATCTTTATGCATATCATCAGGTGGTTGCTCCAGCCTTTTTTTGTATTGGAGGAGCATCAATTGTCGTGCTCGTTGCAAACGTGGGGGGGGGAAGGGGTAGAACCGGGGCACGGCTCAACCAACAAATGGGCATGTGAGAAACAACATTTTCTCGGAACTGGCTAGCAAGACACATGACATGCCCGAAGCTATGTTTCAACAAACAATTAGAAACTGACACAACTTCAGACTAAGTGACATTCAGTTTTCACTGCTTTTCAGTTCATGTTCGCCGCCATCTGGCAAACATATTCCTTGTTCGTTTTTGCGCGACATCCACCAATGATCAATTCCTGCGGGTGGTATGGTAAAGATTTTTCCTTTGATTCGGGGCGTCGAATTGAATCGGGGCGTCGTTGCGAGGCAGTAACCCCGGCATTTCACTGTTACTGCCTCGCAACGACGCCCCGATTCAATTCGACGCCCCGAATCAAAGGAAAAATCTTTTGGTCAGATATTATCCATATTACAGATATTCCAATCCCCAGCCCCGACCCCTCCAGGGCCCTAACACAACAGTCCTTCTTGAGGATCGCCAGACAGTCGGGACACTTAGAGCGCATGTGTACATATATATATATATATATGTATTTATAATATATATATATTACTATGTAGATATATATATATATATAAGTATATATACATTGAAGCAGTGGTGCTCCAATCCAGGCAAATGGCAGATCGAGTTTCCCATTTGGGTCAAACAGCCATCGGAGAAGCAGCCCATAGCCCCCAAGTGCCTCTAGAAGACGAAAGGTGCTACTCCTGTACCCTTCTTTGCAACCACATGTCTTTTTGGAAGACCCATCACATGGCTTCTGTGCAATTTTATGATTGTAAAAAGGTAGTGATAGCACCTTAGAGCCAAGAAACCGGCGCCTGGAGTCGCCAGCACACGATCCTTCGCCGCATGACCGGCCTCTTTTCCGTCAATTCAATGCATGCGGGGCCCGTCGTGGAATCAGTTCAGTCGTGCGTAGGCTGCTTCACAGGAGAAGTGGCCTCTTCATTCGACTCATGGGATTCCATTTCAGTTGTGTTTGGGTCCTCAAGCATGAACGTGTTCAGGGTTCTGCATAGGGGTCATGACCCGAGTAAAGGTTTTGTGAATTTCGGGGTGGAGATTAGTCCGGATGCAGCTTGATGGCTTGGGGTCCGAAGTGGAGGCCCCATCTTTACTTTGCTTCTGGAATTGGCGAATATGTCTTCCTCCGGGTAAGTGTGCTATGCTGCAGCGGGGAGACGGTGTTTGTCATTTTCAGGGCGCAACATTGAAAAGACGTGTTCGAGCAAATGGACACCGCCGGGCCTCGCAACTCGGCCCACGAAGGCATTTCAGAGGACGCTGGTGAATGAGCTTTGGGAATGGTGCCGTTTGTCCAATCCCATGGGAGTGGCCTTTCCTTCTCACTGGGTTTGTGTCAAGAAGGAGATGCTCCAAAATGGGTTGTTTCTTTGTTTTTCCTTCAAAGACGCCGCTACAGGAGGCATGGCGGCACCACTTCAGCCAACCCAGCGTCGGCCGGGAAGTCTCACCAACGACGTTCGCGAATCGAACGGTCGCTCCGTTCCGAGCCGAAACGAACCTCGCGCACCGGGCAGCGTGGAGCTGGCCCGGTGCTTGAGGCGAGCGGAAAGAAAGCTGCGCGAGACGGCCGCGTGGGCGCCCGTTGGCTAAAATGTTGCCATTTGGGGGCGCATTGACAGGAGGTTTCCTTTGGGTGATAGAGGAAATTCGGGGAACCCTGTACCGTGTACCATGACCTGGGTGCTTCAAAGAAAATCCGGCCAAATCCTTGCCCCGGGCAGCACCTTCCACATCGGGGCGTCCATAGGAGTATTGGCCAGCCACAACATGGGAAGGTCCCAAAAGGCAGGGTGTTTGTTCCTAGAGTGTGCGCCACACGTCTCTTCAGCAGACTCTCCAGATAGCCTCTTTGTTTTGTATCTTTGGAGAACCTGGTTTTCCAGGGTAAACACCTCTTCTTGGGGTTGACATCATCATACCCTGAAAAAATGGTATTGTGTGTAGGGGGTAGGGGGCCTCATACGTGTTTTAGTTTGCCTGGCACTCGTCGCTTGAAAGCCGGAGACTTTTTCCGTGTAGAGGGCCCGAAATTCCTGTTGCTTTCCCCTGAAACCAACCTGAAAAGGGTACCAAGCCTCAAACAAATCCATAGACATCCCCGGCTCGAGGCTCGTCACTCCGGATGGGCAAAATTTGCACGTGGCAGGTCGATGGTGGCCGACAACACGGAGAACTTTCTCGAGGCTCCAAGTGACTGGCCAGACCCGGCGGATCCTATAGTTCTCACTTGGGTCTCCAGAAGTATTAACCACCGTTGAACCAAACACGTTTCAGAGTCCTGGCTTGAGCTGTTTTCCTTGAGGGACCCTCTCATGGCTTGCATGGCAACGTGGCCAGGATGGTTCTTCTTTCACTTCTTTTGGGTAGATTCAATGTGTGACAGAATCTGAACATCTGGTTTTGGGCGTATAGATTTGGGCTTTGCCAGTGAATCCCAGGCGTTTCGCCGTCAATGTCCTTGTCTTGTGGAATGTCCGGCAACGCGGCAAATCCTCAAGACTTCTACTCCCGTTGTCTCTTCTCACTTTTGGTGAGCAGCTGCCTGGAAGCCGCGAACTCTCGAGGTGCGGTGCCACAAGGTGCTCATCTGCGACCCGCGGGCCCGGAGACTCGGGAGACTCGACCCGGAGACTCGCACACCTTCCTGAACCTCGGAATTGCCTTAGGGGGTATGATCCCCAAATTGTGGGGTATGGGCCAAATTCCCTTGTGGGAAGTTTGAGGGTGGTTCATTGTTTTGGAATCCCGAGCATGGAGTGGGCGTGCAACGCAGCTTATATCTCTAGATTGCTGCAACCAAACGAGGTATTGGGTCCTTTTGCTTTCCTTTCCACACAAATGTCTGCCCTTGCGACAGGGTCGAATGGGAGCAGCGCTGTATTAGCTGCCTAGTCTGCCTCGATTTTCAACAGCAGCAATGCTACTGATGGACAAAGTCCTGCACCGGGGATGGACGAATCCCTCTGAATGGGATAAACCAATATCAACCACTTACCATTGGTGCGAGATGCTTGATTTTGTCAATCCGCAGATGGTTCCCGCACGTCTGAGAGCGGA